AAGCACTGACACACTCACACACATGCACACAAACGCAGACAAAACGTCTTTTATCCCCGTGGCCTCTTTAAACAGATCCACTCTGTGTCTCCCCGCAGGTCGTCTAAGAAAAGTAATCCTGTTAAAGAGGAAGACACGTCTGCGCCTCTCAGTCCCGAGGCCAAAATGTCTGCAGCAGACCGTGCTACTCCGTCATCTGCAGCTCCCCCGCAGAAGCAGGAGAGCAGTGGAAGCGCAGAAATGGCTGCGCCGGCCTCCGCCTCGGCCTCCACCTCTGCTCCGGTGACTGTGCCCTACCTGAGCCCTCTGGTTCTGTGGAAGGAGCTGGAGAGTCTGCTGGTGAACGAGGGCGACCAGGCCATCTCCTCCCCAAGTGTTGTCGATCAACACCCCATCGTCTTCTGGAACCTTGTGTGGTACTTCAGGAGGCTGGATCTGCCGAGTAACCTGCCGGCTCTCATCCTGGGCTCCCAACACTGTAGCCATGGAGACCAGGTAAAGATGTCTGTCAAGTTCACCTGCATGTACCATATAACTGATGTACTTGCATTTAGTCTGACCCATTACCATTAAAGTCATCATTTTGTTAATAGTTTGATAGTTTCACTTCCTTGGCAAAAAGCGTACACTAAACACTGAGCTGGTTCATTGAGCCCGGCACAAAAAGCTGGAAGCAGGTTTAAATAAATAGCCGAGCAGGTCCAACGGTAACAAATTCTACCACTCAAGAATTAACATCATTATATCTAATTAGTTTATTCCATTCAAACGCCAAAGGGTTAGAAAGACACATTGTTGTTTTACAAGGATATAATGAGAATAACTTTTTGACCGTGCCGACTGCGACACCTAGTGTTAGATTAAAAAACAACACCGTCAAAATCTCATGCACGCAGCGCAGGGAATGTCAGTTTTTTAATAAATTCAATCGAAATACTGATGCAAGACGGTATTAATCTTTCACGTTCTTTTTTATCTCCTTTAGATGCCTCAGATTGTTTCATCTGAGGACAGCAAGCAGGTCCTTGTGAGGATAATGTGGGACAACCTGAAGTTGCACCAAGACAAAGTTCAGCCCTGCTACGTCCTGTGGAACACACACTGTAAGTTATTACTGCTTTTACCTTCACAGACTGCAGTACATTGTATTACAGAAGGTGACATTATTCCGCTGTTAAGGTCAGATATTTACATGCAAATTAAATAATGCATATTAAGGAACCAGAGCATCATACATAATTCATTTCAGGACTCCTATTAGTCATGCCACCTTTACTGGTGCTGTATGCTTTCAGACTTTATTGTGAGTGATGGAGATGAATCAGCCTTTGATCAGGGTGACTTCTAACCGTCTTTCTTCGCAGGTGCCAACTCCTTGGTTCGCTCCGGGCTGTGTGAAGAAGGCCAACTCTTCACCGTGGAGCTGCTGCAGGGTTTTGTGAGGAGCATTAAAAAGAGTGATGTCTACCAGCCCATGAGCCAAATCATACAGCTGCTGGGGCCGGAGTTGGGTTTTAAGAGACAGAGGTGAGGAAATATAGATATTTGTAATGTGTGCAAAGTTATGCAGTGATATGAATGGAAATCTAATTGCCTCTCTACTTTTGTTCTCTTCTCCTGAAAAGGAGCCTCTACAGAGATTTACTGTTCCTTGCACTGGTGGCTTTGGGGAAGAACAACATTAATATCAGTAAGTTCAAAACCCTGAGATGCTGTTTTCAGTCATACTAGCAGTTCACTCCTTGGCATTGAAATCGGGCAGCTGCAACATCATTTTCATACTCATCAGACTATTCAGTGCCTTATGGGTGGTGATACTATCATCCTGGATGAGACTACTCCCATCAGGAGAGAAATGTTTCATCATAGAATAAAGGTGATCACTCAGAACAACTTGATTTGCAGTGATCCTTCTTTCTAACTGGACCTAAATCATATCAGCAAAATCAAAATGCCCTTCAAATTATACCAGTGCCACGAGATCCGCTCACTGTGGGGGTCAAGGGTTCAGGTTTTTCCTATAATTTGTTACTGATCCCTCTTTATAAATGAATCCTGAAGACGGGACTTTAGCTCCACCGGCTGGCCAATTTATTGTTTTTATTATTTTTTTACATGCTCAACATTTGCCTGATGATATGGAACAAAATGTTGTGTGCCTATGTACCTTTTTGATCCCTACTTACTTGTGTAGTGCTATCATCAGGTCAAAATTTCATCCAATTTATGACAAAATACCTTTAAAGCTATCAGCCTTAGTTGTACTCCCTGTTTTGTGCTAATTAGAGACATAAAATGATCAACATGTTTAAATCTTAAATCCTAATTAGCACTAAACACGGAAAACAGGTTTAAATCCTAGCAATAACAAGCATCAGAGAGCTGCTAGCATGACTGTAAACGTCTTCTTTTTACATACACCAGAAGTTCATTCATGGTTAATAAATGGCTTAAGTACATTTCATTTAAAGAAAGTGTTCTGACACATTCCTACCCCGCCATTATCACATTGCAGATGCTTTTGACCGAGAGTACAAGCTGGCATACGACCGCCTCACCCCCAACCAGGTTAAACTGACACACAACTGTGACCGGCCCCCTGGAGCAGGGGTCATGGAGTGCAGGAGGACTTTCGGAGAGCCCAATTTGTGAACTTCTTGTCTTCTTCAGTCTCAGTATGTTTTCCCTTCAACCACGGTCACTGCTGCTGTTTTTTCAGACTGCTCTTCAGACTCAGGACCAGCTCACCTGACTGGAGCACGGAGCTCTTGTAAGCACAATGGGAAATTACACTTAATGTAAAGCAACTGCCATGAGTTTCTTGTATACTGTCAGAGCTGGTAGGCGTAAAGTGACAGGCCTTGTGTTTTGTAAATATTTAGAAAATCGAGCGTATTTTCTGTATAACTATAGTAAAATGTTTGTACAGTTATTATACAGTCTATTTTATGCCTTTGTTTCTGTTGAAGCTGTGAATAAGTACGTAAAAGTAAGTGTACGATCACGTCGTCAAAATTCCTCAGTGGTCCTGGTGACCTTGTTAAGACTGTTGTTAAGTGTGTGTATAATGCATACTTGCTTTTAGACCTTCATGTTTTTACAAAGCACTTTGACAAGATGAGCTCTTGCCATTTTTTCTCATTTATGTAACTCTGTGGCCCTGCAGCCTACGCCTCTTATTTGGCAGCTGCAGGACTTACTGTACTGTCGGTTATTTTCCATTAGATTCAGTTAACAAAAGTAAATATGTGCACCCTGTAAAACCTGACAGGGCGACGCTCATACGCCTGAATACACTAAACTAGATGGTGACGTCAGAACTATGACACATGACATTATTTCTGACTCAAGAAGGGAACACTCATTTAATTTACAGTGTATGCACAATGTTTATTTTATTTCCTTTTTTTTGTACAATGTACCAAAAGAACCCAAAAGGGAATATTACTTCTGTAATTTATTTACAGTTTTTTAAGCAATACCTTTTTTAAAGTGAAGATTGAGTAATTTATGTGTTATATGCGACCACCAAGGATAGCGTTCCTTAAAAACAGTACAATCAAACTACTAGTAGAGAAATACAAACTGAAAAAAATATGTTATCTGTTGGTTTAATCAACACTTCTTTTTTTTTTTTTTTGATAAAGAATTTACGGTAATGGATCCATAAAAATGTACAGAGTATTTGGCTCTAGTATTTTGTATATTTCCTTTTGGTCTTCACTGTATGGTGTAGATGTCAGTTTTAGATATTTGGACAACAGTGCACTGTTTAATGTGACATACGGAGCATAAAATGACATTTTAATCACTTATTATAGCCGACTGTCTCTTTGAGTGGGTGACAGTGCAGGTGTCTTTGTACTGAGCATATTAAAAGATTTATAAATGTGAAAGGTGTTAGGTTTGAACAGCAGCTCTGACCTGCCCGAATTCAAAATCACCTTAGAAATGAGTGTGACAGTTCACTGTGTTAATATTGTCTTTCACTTTTAACTGACAAAAAAAAAAAACCTGCCTAGATTCTGTTCGTAATGTGATGCAGCTCCACAGCTTCTTACTGGACTTCACAATAACTTACGACGACACAATGCTGGATTAGATAAGGCTGTGTGCTTGGAATAGACACCAATCTCACAGCATGTAAATTTGCATTTTAATCACCTTGTAACCCGTAACTAAAAAAAACAAAAAGCAAACAAACAAACAAAAAAAAAAACCACTGATGACCAAAACATAATTTTATGTCTACGTGTTGTTTACACTATTTGTCAATTTGAACAATGTTTCCAAAGTATTATTTATCATTTGTAACACAGATACTAATTTGTATGATTTTTACATTAAAAAAAAAAGAAAAGAAATCAAATTTCTTCCCTGGCTGGATCTATAGTTTGCCTTCATTTATGAATAAACACGTTTATTCTATGGGTGTCAAGTTTCATTTTTATTTATTGTTTTCAAACTGAGTGCCATGTCTGACTGTTTTGATTAAAAACTAAGATCAAGCAAGCTCAGATTCTCTATAATGAACGTCATGAAACAATTCTTGGCGCATTCGTATACTTACATATTGTACAAAATTCACATTTAGAAAGCTATTTTTTTTCCAAAATGTACACATATTCTAGACTTCTATTGTAATTATACAGACAGTGTTGTGTAAACAGTGAAAAAAATGTTAACATCCCTGTTAGTGGACATTCTTATACTGTACAATCTACACAGTATTAAATAGTAGTTCTGCATCTCCTGGTATGATGGGAAAAAAATGGTATAAAAGCTGCCATTGTTACTAAAAGTGAGTATGTATCAGGTTCTAGAAAATGTTGTAGCATGTGTGTCGCATACCAGCCACAATGCAGAGCAACTATAGTAGCGTTCTGAATGTTTTCTATGGATGTCCTGATCCATGCTCATGAGATCCGTACATGTAGGAGTTAACAGTTCTGCTTCAGTGGAGGCAACATTTGCTGTCGTCAAGGCCTCTGTTCACACTTTCAGATAGAAACAGGGCAGACGATGATACGATCCTCCAGCATGACACTGAGCACCAGGAAGATGAAGTAGAGGAGGAACATGGTGGAACCCAGCACCTTATTCATCCTCCACTTACATGACGCGATGGAGATGATGACGAAGAGGAGCATGAGGAAGAGCAGCACGATGGCACAGAAGAGCCCGTTGCTGCTGACGGCCACTGGAGCGAAACCGTGGAAGGATGAGTACAAGAGCCACGGGACTGGGAGACTTTAAAAGAAACAGGAAAATGGGAGAAATTAGTCGAATGTGTGTTCAGCTGCTTTACATTTCAAGTCATGACTGATCAAGTTATAGAGGCTCACCCCACAGTGATGTCGAAGATGTTGCTGCCCACAGAGCTGGATACAGCCATGTCTCCCAGGCCTTTGCGAGCCACAATCACGCTGGTAATGAGGTCGGGGATGGATGTCCCTGCAGCTAGAATAGTCAGGCCCATAATCTCCTCTGAGATGCCGATCGTCTCACCCACCTAAGGGGACAAATCAGAGTTCAAAGTGGGTGGAAGCTGCAAAAATTGTACATGTTTTCCTCAAGATGACTGAGTCCGGACACCAACTTAATTTCACTTTTCAAATATATTCACTGGTTTAGGGAGATTTAAAGGTCACATGTTGTGCCTTTAAAGCAAGTTAATGAAAGTCTTACACGTCCCCTGAATGTATCTTTTATTTCTTCAGCTCAAAATATTGCAAAGTTGGTTCATTTTATTATAACAGTATAACCCCTGTTTTCAGCCCAGTTATAATGAGCTGTGTCAGTGTCTGTAGCTTCATTTACTTAAAAAGCATCTTTAAAAACAACAGGAGTTGAACCAAAGTCTTATACTAACAACAAATTAGGCCAGAAANTCTTATACTAACAACAAATTAGGCCAGAAAACAGAAAATTCTTAATAAAAGATAAGAAAATATTGAGCATAAAAAGATACAAACACAATAAGATGAAGGCAGGATGTCAAGCTGTCCTTAAATCAAATACCAAAGGAAAAGATGTGGGTCTTAAAAAGCGACTTAATTTTTTTTAAAGCAATTCTAGCATGAAAAAGTAAACTGTTGCAGGAGCAGCTGCCATGAAGGCTCAACAGCTTTAATTTTGAGTCTGGATCTCAGAACATCCAAGAGCATTTGGTTGGTCAAATTCAGTGCCCTGAGTGGTTACTCATAAATAAAGCTGTTGTCCATGTCCCCTTCAGGAAGAAGACTTTCTCTGTATCTAAACAGTTGACCACACAGCAGCATACACAGATGTAAACAAATATAGATGACTCTCAACCTTTCTATCCCTTCTAACTTTCTCTCTGTGCAATCATTTTACATGAAAATACTGGCAAATTTACAACACAGCAATTTATTTAAAATGACATGTGGTGAGTTTGATGTCTTAAGGTTATAAAATCGATAATTAATGGTGCTGATTAACATGTAGTCTCAATGGTGAGTATGTCATTCTTACTCCATTGCTGACAACAGAAGCAGAATATGCAAATGATAATGTAAATATGTAAATGAGAACAACTTTATTGCGAAGTTAGTTGTATTTAATCGCAGTGTGTGTGAGCACAGAGGGCAGGAGAGAAACAAACAGATGTAAACACACACTGAGTTTAGGCTTCATGGAAGCACAACAGGCGACATGAAATCTCATTATAAGCTCCGACCCGTGGGGCGTACAATCATGCTAATGTTAGCTGCACTAGCCACAAACCGCACTAATAGTAAGGATTTTCCTGCTTTTGTGGGGATATTGCCATTAAAATCTAAAGTAATCCACTGGGTCTTCAGTTCCTCTGATGCTGGGAGTGCATGAAGGCTCTTGTGTTCACTCTTACAGGTATTTGGTGAGCTTTACTCATGATGGAGACATTTTGGAGTTAGCAGACACAGCTCAAGAAAGAATATAAACCTAGTAAAATGAGAGAAAGCTACTCATTCTGAATGGCTTACTTCAGAAGCAGAGAGTTAGAGCTGTGAAGGAGTGGAATTACGACTACTGGTTCCTTAATTCCTTCCTTGATACGGAATAAAATCCTGACTGGCTTGTAAGCCATCTAGTTGAAGGATCACAACGAAGTTGCTCTGAACAAGTAGATCTACTTTCTGTTTTATTACTTCATTAATGTCTCTTTGCTATTTATTGTTGTTCCTGTGCGATTTTTGCACGGATTGTTTTACTGCTGGCTGCATAGCAAATTACCCCACAGGGATAATAAAGACTCCTTGAACCTTGAAACTTGAAATGGCAGTAATAAGCATCTTCATATTCTCACAGCTTTTAATTTATGCTTTCAAATTTATAAAGCATACAAAACATCATAAAAGAACATTTGTTTTTTTAAAATCCCTTGATACTTGGATTTATGGGTGCATGACATTTACTTTATACTAGTCTTTGTGAGGGCTGCAAAGTGGCTCGGTCGTTAATACCGTTGCCTCGCAGCAAGATCGTCACTGGTGAGGACACCCAGGATCTTTCTGCATGGAGTTTACATGTTCTCCCCGTGCAGCGTGGGTTCTCTCCGGGTTCTCTGGCTTCCTCCCACAGTCCAAAAACATGTTGAGGTTAATTGGTGATTCTAAATTGTCCGTAGGTGTGAATGTGAGTGTGCTTGGTTGTCTGTCTCTAAGTGTAGCCCTGTGATAGACTGGCGACCTGTCCAGGGTGTCCCCTGCCTTTGTCCTAAGTCAGCTGGGATAGGCTACAGCCCCTCCGCGACCCTAGTGAGGATTAAGCTGTGTATAGATAATGGATGGATGGATAGTCCTTGTGAACACTTTTTACTCCATGTGCACAATCAGAAATCACAGCAAAGACTCTCTGCGGTCACTGACCTGATGGGCCCACCACACCATGAGGTAGGAGAAGACAGCAATCCACAGAATCGAGCCCAGGAAGGTAAACACAAAGAATTTTCTGGATTTCTATTGAAAGTAAGTGAGGTAAAAGTAAAAAGCAGTGCAACATAAGGTACAACAGCTGATATCAGAAATGTGTCTGTATCTCCCACCTGGTTGCGAACGTCAGGAACTGTGAGCCACAGAGGGAAGACTATAGGCAGCAGGAAGAGATAGGTGGCTTGTTTACGTCGCGTGTCAGGCCACTCTAAAGACAGGGGCTCATCTTCTTTTTCCTCTCCTTCGTCCTCTGCGTCATCTTCATCCTCATCGTCATCCTCATCTTCACTGGACTCGTCACTGTCATCGTCGCTGTCGTCTTCACCGCTGCCTGAGTCCTCTGAGCCTCCTGAACCTCCTGAACCATCCTCTTTTGCTGGCACATCCTCCTGAAGAGAGAAAGACATTTTGATGGACAGAAGCAGAGAACAAGAAGAAGAAGAAAAAACAGGGTAAAAGCAGTGACTACATTAGCCTAAAGAGACTGGTTGCCAAAAGTTTTTGTTCTGTACATAGACTCTTACATAGACAGGTATCAAAGACTGACTTCTGGGCTTTTTGATAAGGACCTGGACATGGTAGGAGAGTACCTTCTCGTCCTCTGGCTGCTCCTTCTTCTCTGTTTCTGCAGCTGGGGCAGCCTCAGGCTCTTTAGTCTTCTCAGTTTTCTCCTCACCATCTGTGAAAGGAATCCTAAACATTTTGATCATTTCCCTTATGTCTCTGGCTTATTCAGCTATCTGAAGAATTCCCATATCATTTTAGACTTCAGCACTGGCTATACGGAGGAATGCAGTGAATGTGTTGCTGGGACTTACATAATGTATGAGATCATCTTCATGACGAGTGGACTGAATACGTCTCTATCTTCACAGCTGTGTGCATTTGGATATTATAGCACACCCTTTTATAGATGTTGTCTAGTCTTTAGTACTTATTATGTGTTGTTTTTTTACAGTATATAGTCGGCAAATTGATGTATTCCCTGTGGTTTGTTCACACTGTACACACTCAATAGTGCTCTGCTCCTGGTCACACACCTACAGAATGCAGCCAAGCAGTATAAGAAGCTACTGCTTGACAGTTACTTTATTATAGGTGAGGGTATATACCATAAAAGACAAATGAGCCACGGGACCTGTTTGACTCATTGACTTTTTCAAGCAGAGAAACAGTGGCTTGCAGCAGCTTTCAGTCTCTGTTCACGAGCAGACTCTGAAAGCTTCCACGTTACCTTCGCTTTTGTCTTGAGGTTTGCTCTCTGCCTTCCGTCTAGCCACATTATTCAGAGTCTCAGCCTTATCCTTAAATTTCCCTACAAACAGTCAAACAAGCAAAAAACAAAACAAAAACAAACTTAGAATAATATAAGGGCTTACTCAACCGCGTGGCTGAAAAATTTGTGAAAGACAAAGATTTGTTCATGAGCTAGAAAATGTTAGAAGCGGTGCACCAACAGCACCAAAAGCCGCATAATATTCAATATCAGTGTTCAGTGTCATGACAGAAAGAATGATGACATCAAAAGAACAAGATGCACTACAAACCAAAAAAACACAACAGGATCATTCTTCTAACTAGGGAACTACCATACAGGCTGGTCAAGCTGTGTTTCTTTCATTAGTTCTCCCAAACATCACAAAGCTGTTTGATTAACAAAATATAGTTTGCCAGCATTAGGTAAGATGAACCACAGATATCTGAATAATGTTTTTGGATGCATCTCCATGTGACCAGATGTCTCCAAGAGCATAAATTGATTGATTGTACAGGGAAAAAGAGAGTGGGTTGATAAAGTGGCTGCCAGCTGTGATCCTGATTTTCTAGCCCCATTCAAAAGCTGATTATTGTGCTGGTAATGGATTGTTTTGCGTCCTGAGGCCTGAAAGACGAGCAATCTGGGAGCCTGTATCACATATAAACAGATTGTAATATATGATGTACCTCAGTCTGGCTGCAGGCAACCAGAGAACACAGTAATATGTTGTGAGATTACACTGGTACGACTTCCATAGAATGATGCATTAAGCTAGTTTTCCTAACCTATTAGGAAAACCTGTTTTTCTGCAAATGAAAGCTGAACATCACCATCTTATGACAGTATTGTTTAACCAGCTATCAGAAAATGAATCAGTTCTACAAAGGCATTCTACACTCGTAATAGAAATAGGAATAATTTTCCAGTTTAGTATAGAGCAATCCCTGTGTTGGCTATCCACTGTGTACCTACAAATGGATCCCTCTATAGACAGAGGTAGGTATTTATCTGCTTAGTATCAATCTGGACTTAGTGTTGGCTTCATATGGGACACTTCACTAATCCATTTTACAATGAGAAGGACATAGTCCCCAGACAGTTGTAATAAAAGCACTTTCAAAGGTTCGCATCAGGTCAGTCATTGCAGTGATATGTAACTCACCCTGTCCTATGGGGTCTAATGTGTGAATCATGAGTTGGAAGATGGTGTTCCTCATGGTGCTGTTGTGTAGCGAAGCTGAACTCCCCCCTCGCTGAAGGGAAGGCTTCAACTGTGGACAGAAATGGCTGAGGTCATGACAGCTATTCACTTTAGACACATTAGAGAGTCATGCTACAGCAGATGTAAGCAGATGAGTTTTTTTACTACAAGATAATGTTATGATAAATAGGACTGCAGTAGGACAAATAGGATGTAAAATATTACAGAAATGCCAAAAATGAACAAAATATGTTCTTCGTCTTTCTTTTCACAGCTGATAAGTTGCTTGATTGTTGGATTTTTACCTTTAAACGATTCTTGTCCTCTTGAGGAGGAGGTGCATTATCTTCACAGTCCCCATTTGTCTGTGTGCAACAAGGTTTGTTTTCAGCAATAATCATTCATTGGTAAAGATAGACAACAGAAAGTACAGACTGTATACGATAATCGTATACATTGCTGTTTCACATACTGCACCCGCTGGGGGTCTTGTTAGTGTACATATCAGAAAAAAAATATGTTGTGTCATGCACAGAATTATAATTTTGTAACTGTATTGACTGCCACATAAATTTTAAACATTACAATGTGATTGTTTACAGTATGAAATAGCATTTTCAGCAATACATTAGCTTTACAGTGTGTAAATTAAGCCTCAATCACACTTGCTGTTGTGAAACACAGTATGTGTTGAAGCTACAGTTTGTGCAGAGCCATAGCTCCTCAAAGGATTAGTTTGCTGAGGCTGATCAGCTTTGGTTTGCCAGGGCCTGTACGAGTAGCTAGTGCTGGTATCATTCACTCATTTGGCATGTGTGCGCTACAGGCAAAGGCACAGATGTCAAGAGTGATGTGAAGTGTGGCTTTCTATTTCAGTAATAAGCTACACCGCATGTGAAGATTTTGACAGAATGATGGACAAAAAACAGTTTTGTGGAATATCACGTTATGTGATGCTGCTTCCAGGTTCACAAGATTAAAAACCATTTAACTGGTGGCAGTAAGCAATTTGTCAAGTATCATTTTCAGATCTGTTTATTTTTAACTCTTAAAGAGCAATACATATGTTTTCTACAGTGGCATATATTGTTCTTTAAAGTGCCGTAGTTTTGCTCTCAATTAGATTATACTCCTGCCAGAAAGGGATACTAATATATTCAGGAGCATCTAGAAAACTTTGTTAAAATGCCTACATATAGAAAACTGTGTGGAATCTAACAACAGACTCCGAGGACAGGAGGAAAGGACTGATTTTCTATAATCTCTGCTGAGTTCTGTCAGTGCTTACCTTATCAGGTTCCTCCACAGCAATAATTTTAACAATGCTCTTGTGTTTGTGGAGCTGGGTCTTGAATGCTTGCTCCAGTTGCACATTGAACTTCATGAAAATGACATAGAGAGTGTAACCGCCCACCAGCATCATGCTCTCCCACCACATTATCACATTATCCAAGAAGAAGATAATTAGTAGGATGAGGCCAAATATGTAGAATGACACATCTCTGAAAAGTGGCCACCAGGTTAGATGAAGAACCTCCCGAGAAAACAAGGCGCACATTCCAATCACAAACAAAATGTTGAAAACTGCTGAACCGACAATCGTGCCGATACCCACATTGCTGTGGGCGATGAAGACTCCTATCAAGGAGGTAAAAAGTTCAGGAGCAGAACCTCCAGCAGCCATGAAGGTGGCTCCTGCCACATCATCCGAGATGGCTAACTTGTCTATGATTACCCCCAGTGCAGGAACAAAGAACTCATCGCAAACAATCGCAAGTGACACAAACATGTACACCATCCCAAAAATGTGGAGCATCACCCAGCCTCGTCTGCGGTCTTCAACAGAAAATAGATCTTCAGGGTATTCACCCTTTACATGTGGAGCTTCACCAGGGGTCGCTGGAGTTATGGTGGTTACAGGAGGAGTCGGAGCCGCTGTGGGTGTCTCCGGTGGAGGTTCAGGGGCCACATAGATGCAGTGCACAATAGTCCGATTCGTGATTGGTAATAAAGGAGATTCTGTGGTGGTGGAAGCTTCGAAATCTGAAGTTGCGTCTGTCTGATGTACCACATGTATCTCTGCTGTTGTTTGATCTGTAGGCTCTAATTCACCCGTTGCAGTTAGAGGTTCCTCCAGGCCTCCAGGCTCTATTGTAGCCTCCTCAACCCCCTCTGTTGAACCTTCTCCAAAATCCTCTCCAATCTGAGGCATTGGCAAAGGCTCATACAGTCTGGCGCTGATGGTCAGCTGGTAGAGGGTACAGAGGAAAACCCCAGAGAGGAAAAACAGGACCCGACTGAGCTGCAGTCGCTTTCTTCTTGCACAATACATTTTCCTCCAAAGCAGTGTGACTACTGGCTAGGTTGATTTAAGCTGCATAAATGGCCTTTGGTAGAGTCCAGCTCTCTTCCCATCAGACCATAGTTTGACAGAATTCTCAACTTCAGGAGCATTAGTCATGTCACATCCTCGGCTCCTTGGAAAACCCAGCCTGTTGCAAATGAAAGAAAGCAGCAAGGATAAAATGACATTAACATGACATGTGGGATACCAGTAGAACACATCTGAAGAAATTAGAATTATTAATGCACTTCATACATAATTGTCTGTCATAGCATTATTTTTAAGCCCATTTAAAAAGTGTCATCATTACACATGACAGGAGTTTTCCGAGAGAGTGAGCAAGCTGACAGTAAAGGCAAACACCAAAAAAAGACCAAACATCAGTGCAAGCAGCAAGAACTGTGCAATGCTTTAAATGAATAGAAAACATCATGTGGTAACAGGAGAGATTAAGTTCTTCATCAAATCCAGAGAGAACATCAGCGTATGCAATCACAGATACTGACTTACCATCGAATTAATGTCTTGCAAAGTCAGAGGTCCTAAAATGTCCAAAAGCAGATTTCCACCGTTGGGTGTTGTGGCACAAACAAAAACTGTTGGCAATGACCAAAGACTTATGTAGGACGCCGAGCCAGTCTCCACAATGGATCAGCATAATGCCTAACACCTGAAGTCTTCTAAGAGGATTACATGCATTGTCTCACTCTCACTGTCTCCGTAATATTCCTTCAAATGTAAAGTAAAAGGGTTTATTGAGCCTAATAACATTATGTTGCACAGCTATAGCATTAACATTTACTGTATGGAACCTGAGGTGCATTTGGAAATAATACTCTGAGTATGTAATTGAACATAACTGTGAACTCTGCTCCAAAAATACCTATAACAGTAATGTTGTTCCTTATTAAATGTGTGCTATAAAATTAAAATTAAATTAACATGTTAAAGTAGATATTACTTTGGATTTTTTTTTCTAATGTACTCTGCATCCAGCTGGTTGGACATAGTGGTGCACATTGCACTACAAGAGTGGTACCACTAGAGCTGATGAGCAATCTAATGCTGGAGTGTTTGGACAACTGAGTATGGATATGTTGCAAAGGCATAAATGTTTCTGTCTGACCCCTCAAAGTTGTTTGATTTTACTCATTCACCAATAACGGGGACACTTGTGAGTTGGCTTTGAGAAAATTAGCATAATGCAAAGTGAGCCAGACAACTAGCAGTCAGACTGTAAGAAGCTTTCAGAGTTGATTTGATAAGTATGTCCACACGTTACCTTTTAATGCTTTAAACAAACTTTAGAGTAATCCTTCATGTCTGAATCCTTTTCCCGCTTCCATCTTCAACACTGAATAATTACTACACAGTGGATGTAGGAGTTATTTTTGCCACTGCAGCTAACTGAACACCACACAATAGTGCAATGTAAGTGTTAGCCTTTGAAGTGACAGAGAGTTAGGTTAGGTTATCACGGTGGACGAGTTTGTGTGTCCTTGTGATCCTTTGTGTTATAGTATCTGGGCCAAAAGTACCTGGAAGGATCTTCTGATTGGTCCGAGGGAATATGTCAGACTGCGAGTGATTCAGACATCTCAGTGCATCCATGGAACTACATAACCTTGCAGGAACAGGGAGGATGGGGTCCCCTTCTGGAGTCAGGCCAACAAACGTCTTGTGGCCCATGGGGCTTGGTCGGGCACAGCTTGAAATGGCTACATTTGACCACCACCCATTTGGCCCATCACCCACTGAGACAGGCATTTGGATCAGGTGTAAGCTCTGTGGGCAGACCACTAGTGGTGCAGACTGGTTCTGTGGAGGAGTGACTGGAAAATGGAGTATGACCGGACAGAGGACTTGGGGCAACGTCAGCAGTAATGTCAGCATTGTACTGGACTGTCATATTGAAGAGTGTCCAAAACTCACCTATGGTCATGACCAAAAGAACAAGGTCGCAAATACAAGTGACTGAAATGGGTTTTCTCCACGAGGTGGCTGGACAAAAACATGTTGAGGTTAATTGGTGATTCTAAATTGTCCATAGGTGTGAATGTGAGTGTGCTTGGTTGTCTGTCTCTAAGTGTAGACTGGCGACCTGTCCAGGGTGTCCCCAGTCCGTCACCCTGAGTCGGCTGGTTTTGATCTGATGGTTCAGATTTTGCGTTGGACTTCTCTTGAAGATCAACAAGACATAGAATAGGTTTTGTCCTGTGGAAATCAGTTGCTCACACGATTCTCCACTAACTCAATTTTGCAATTTTCTTTTCAAGACAACGAAATGAAAAACTAAATTCACCACAATACACATGTAATTTAAGCATTTATATATATATATATATATATATATATATATATATATATATATATATATATTACATCATTTAATATGTAAATCATCAGTCAGATCAAATGGGTTAAGTGGTTTCCTTCTCAGGTTTTATAAAGGATTAAAAAAAAACATCAAGAAATATATATTATGTAAAATACACACTAGAGAAAGGAAAAAGAAAAGGAACAAGAAAAAGATAGATAGGTGGGATTATCAAAAATAAAAGATGTTTGTATAGGGTTGAAAAATGTGAATAGCATAATATTTATACAAGTATATATTACAAGAAATAAGGTACAAATATTCTGACATACCAGTATACACCTAATACAGTTTCTTATGTCTTTGAGAAGAGGTTGAGACTTGTAAAACATTCTTAAATCAAGGAGAAATATATCTTTAAAATCCACATCAATAGTCATTCGCATGAGCCAGACAATGTTTTTTATGTCAAAAAATATAAATTTGCTAAATATTACAGAAAATCTTAGGGCATGTCTTCTTACCTTTAGAGTAACAAGATGTTTTTTTTAAAAAAGAAAATATTTTCTTCTCACAGAAAGAAAAGGGAGATGGGTAAACATAAGCAACTATGATTTGTTTAAACTGTTAGTACATTACATTTCATTCAAGTTCACATCATACATCTTGGGAGAAGGCAATATTACAACTTGTTTATGGAGAAAACAGAGAGTCTTGTGTTTACTCATGCAATAAAATCTTCTGCAGCCTCAGTGCACACTGTGCTCAAATTGGACATCAGGCACTTGGGTATCATCTATCATTGCTATTAGGTTATTGTGATTGTGGCAGTGCTGGTCTGCATGTAGTTGCAGATATAATACACAAGTAGATATTTATATGGTAGTCTAAGCAGATATGATGACATATGTTAGTTGCATTTTGGTCCACAGACACGAAATGAAGAATTAATTGGCAAAAATTTAATGCATGTAATTGAACTTATCAAAAGTCAAAAGGAGCTTCGGCAACATATGCAGAAACATACACCAGAGAAAAAATTTTAAGCACTTTGTCCAACGCTCACAGGGCAGCGAATGATGCCATTCTGTAGCACAATACTAATGACCACGAAGATTAAGTAGAACAGCAACATGGTGAAACCCAGCACTTTATTCATCTTCCACTTACATGATGCAATGGAGATGATGAAAAAGAGAAGCACGAGGAAGAGCAGCACAATGGCACAGAAGAGCCCGTTGCTGCTGACGGCCACTGGAGCAACACCGTGTACGAATGAGTACAAGAGCCACGGGACTGGTCGACTGAATAAATCGACAGAGTGATGAACAGAAAAAATAAATAAAAAGGGAGACAGAGAAATCAGTTAACTGTGTGTTCAGCTGCTTTAAATTTCAAATCATGACTGATCAAGTTAGAGAGGCTCACCCCACAGTGATGTCAAAGATGTTGCTGCCCACAGAGCTGGATACAGCCATGTCTCCGTGGCCTTTACGAGCCACAATCACGCTGGTAACGATGTCGGGGATGGATGTCCCTGCAGCTAGAATAGTCAGGCCCATAATCTCCTCTGAGATGCCGATCGTCTCACCCACCTAAGGGGACAAATCAGAGTTCAAAGTGGGTAGAAGCTGCAAAAATTGTACATGTTTTCCTCAAGATGACTGAGTCAGGACACCAACTTAATCTCACTTTTAAAATGTATTCACTGGTTCAGGGAGATTTAAGGGTCACATGTTATGGCCCTTTTTAAGCAAGTTAATGAAAGTCTTAAATGTCCTCAGAATGCATATTTCGTTTTTTGGTTCTTTAGCTCAAAATATTGCTCAGACGGTTCATTTCACCATGACGGTATAACCCCTGTTTTCAGCCCCATTATAATGAGCTGTGTCAGTGTCTGTAGCTTTAAATACTCAATACAAGTCAAATCTACTCATGAAGCACACTTTAAAACAGCAGGAGTTGAACCAAAGTGTCATACAGACAGCCAGGATAATTATAAACTGATCTGACATCCCAAAAGTCTCTCCCACCTACAAAAAAATAAAACCAGTGATCAGTTTGCTTCATGAAGAATTTGACTTTTTTGTTCATTGATATAATCCCTCAAAACTAACCTTTGTATCAAAGTTACATATTGATCCACTCCATCTCTGCCTCTTTCTCAAGCTCGAGCACACCGGCTCTGCTACAACTCTACTCGATCAAACACTATAAAACTACTTGACATTACGCAATGGCAACTTGTAATACTGGAGGGATTTAGCCAATAATTATACATAAAGTCCCACCCTGCAAGCTTCCTTAGGTTTGTTACATCGGAGCACTGTAGTTTCAAGTTCCGAGGTGGAAATGCTCAGCCATGGTGTTGACTTCTTATTTCACTCATAATGTGTCGGGTACCATATAAAGAACATCACATGAACATGCTAACAAGGCAAAAAAAAAAACGTTTCCTGGACAGTTATTTCAAGATATACTATAGTGTCTTTTTTATGGAATAAAAAAAAAAAATCTTTCTTTGCTGTGCTCAGCTTTTAGCCATTTTACACCAACCTCTATGTACCTGTGTGCACAATCACAAAACAAAGCAAAGCACTTCAAATGTCACCTCCAAATTTGCTACACTTACTGACCTGATGGGCCCACCACACCATGAAGTAGAAGAAGACATTAATCCACAAGACAGAAGCCAGGAAGGTTATCAAAAAGAATTTTCTTGATTTCTGTTGGACAAAAACAAAAACATGTAAACGTACAAAATGACATTTCAAGAATAGCTGATCTAAAAGATGCGTCCGAGCCTCACCTGGTTGCGAACATCAGGAACTGTCAGCCACAGAGGGAAGACTATGGGCAACAGGAAGAGGTAGATGGCTTGCTTACATCGAGTATCAGGCCACTCTAAAGACAAAGGCTTATCTTTGTTTTCTTCTTCTCCTTGATTCACTTCATTCTCAGCATCTTCATTTTTACCAGAGTCATCACTGCTTTTATTGCTGTTATCTTCATCATTGTCGGGATTCTCCTGATCCACCCCCTCCTGCAGACACATCCTTCAAGAAGTCAATTTGTTGATCATGAATGGCCATAGCAAAAGGTATGTGTTGCTCTCTGGTTGATCTCTTATCATATCTGATCTTTTACAAATTATACAAAGTTGTAATTCTTCAAAAAAGAATGTCTTGCTGTAAACTGCATTATTCTTTAACTGGTTGCCTATTTGATCTTACAAGCGTCATAGCTTTGTTCTCTATTGCATACCCATGTTGTAACATGCAAGTATACAGATACACTGAGATGTATTAAACTGTGGTCAGTTCCTGCAAGTGATATCACAGTAACTACTCATTGTGTATTTTCCGCAGAGTGTGCTCAATCTACAAGGAGACCTTTAGAAAAGCACTCTTGGAAATTATCGTGATCAGTGACTATTGACTCCTTCAGACTCCTCATATTGTCAGTCAAGGAGACGTGTGGGGAAACAACAAAATCCTTTTTACACAAATATGTTTACACAGGGGTGCTTACCTTTTCGGGTTCCTCCACATCAACCGTTTTCACAGTGCTCTTGTGTTTGTGGAGCTGGGTCTTGCATGTTTGCTCTATTTGTGCATTGAACTTCATGAAAACAACATAGAGAGTGTAACCGCCCACCAGCATCATGCTCTCCCACCACATTATCACATTATCCAAGAAGAAGATAATTAGTAAGATGAGGTGAAGTATGTAGAATGACACATCTCTGAAAAGTGGCCACCAGGTTAGATGAAGAACCTCCCGAGAAAACAAGGCGCATATTCCAATCACAAACAAAAGGTTGTAAACTGCTGGACCAACAATCGTGCCGATACCCACATTGCTGTGGCTGATGAAGGCCCCTACTAGGGCACTAAAAAACTTAGGGGTGCACCTTCCAGCAGCCATGACAGTGGCTCCTGCTACATCATTAGAGATGGCTAACTTTTCTGTGATTACCCATAGCGCAGGAACAAAGAACTTATCGCAAACAATCGCAAGTGACACAAACATGTACACCATCCCAATAATGTGGAGCATCACCCAGCCTCTTCTGCGCTCTTCAAGAGTAAACAAATCTGCAGGGTATTCACCCTTTACATGTGGAGCTTCACCAGGGGCAGCTGGAGTTGCTGTGGGTGTCTCTGGTGAAGAGTCAGTGGTGGCGGATGCTTTGAAACCTGAAGTTGTGTCTGTCTGATGTACCACATGCATCTCTAGTGTTTGACCTGTAGGCTCTAATTCAACTGTTGCAGTCAGACGCTCCTCCAGACCTCCAGGTTTTACTGTAGCCTTCTCAACCCCCTCCGTTATATCGTCTCCAAAATTCTCTCCTATCTGTCTGGCGCTGATGGTCAGCTGGCAGAGGGTACAGAGGAAAACCCCAGATAGGAGAAACGGGACAAAGCTCAGCTGCAGTCGCTCACCTCTTGTATTCATTTTGTCCTAAAGAAGCAAAAGTGGTGGCAACAAAAATCAAGCTGTACTGACGGGCAGTGGTGAACAAGTCCAAGTCTTCACACTAGATGATCATATAGTGACAGAATCCAAGCTCTCTGCAGCCCAGTTCATCTTGTCCCATTTGAATACCTGTTGTAAACAAAAGGATTATTAATTAGTATGCATCAGATCAATTTCATATTTTGTATATTTGCAAGAATTCAGGTCTATTCAATTGTTTGTTTGTTTTTAAATTACAGAAGCAGGCTTAAAACCTCCAAAGCACAGTTATAGGACATTGCACAACCTTCATCATACCTCTGGTCTTTCAAGAGGATTATCTGCAGTGTCTCAAACTGATCATCAAAGCATTGGTCATGGATCCAGTAATTCTCTTACACTATTCCTTTCATAAAAAAGTACAGTAAGTGTAAGCTGTCGTACCTTAAAATGGGCGTTACCTCCTCCATCGTTTTCTGCTCACATTTATTCGCCAAATAATTAATATCCACACCGTTACCCAGATGCTACAAACTACTTGTGCAGTCTGGACTTAGCGTTCCCACTTGAATCATCGAGTATTATCCGCTTTTTTTAGTTTTACAATTCGTGCACAAAAACTTCTCACAAAGACCACCCACTTTTTTCCACCCCCGTAAATCTGACTAAACACAATTTAAACCGGTATCCAAACCCAAGACTTAAGTTTAGAATGCGAATAAATCAATGCAATTATTACTTTTTCCATTTTTATCTTAACAGTTTATTTTTTTAGATGCTTTAATGTCACACCTATGTTTTTAAAAAATCTTGAAATCACATAGGAACCATTTATTCACTACTCGATACACTACCCGGACGGAAGTACTGGTGCACATTACACCACAAACAACACTGAATGGCGAGCTAAACGTTCAATGGCACGTACATTTTCAGTTATTCTTTGTAATTAAAATACTGCTTCACTTTAGAGTTTAGCGTGGTAATAATTATTTTCTCACATTGGTAAGATAATAACCGGGACGTTTCTCTCGTTGAGTGTTTTATGGTTACGTTTCCAAATGCTAACGTACTTTAGCCGAACAACTAGCCAACATTAGCCTCTGTTAGCTTTTAACGCCGTTAGTAGTAGTTGTTTGAGGCAGCTAAACAAACCAGAGTAACACAGATACTCAAAGCAGTGGCACTGGCACTGACTGTTGATTATAGCTAAATAAGCTTGATGCATAACTGAGATAATGTGTTAACATGCTCTGAGGAAGAGAAGCGACTACACGCTAAGTTAGACAACTTATTTATACGCAGGTTTTCTCATTAAAAACATCTTTCTCTTTCATGTCCTTCAGTGGGAGCACGTTGGGGGGCTCGTTTAAGTCCGTCGTGTTACTGGGAGTCTCGATAAGCCGAGAGCCATGCCTACCGTGGTCCTAATGGACGTGTCTCTGTCCATGACACGGCCAGTGTCACAGGATGGCAGCGAAGAGTTTCAGAGGAAGAACCTGGCTGTCCACGGACTCAATATGTTGTTCGAACACATGGCCTCAAACTACCGCCTGGAGTTCACGGCACTGATGGCTTTCTCTTCCCTCTATGAGCTCTTGGTGCCTTTCACCAGGGATTACAATGCATTACAGGTAAAGTGTGCCTCTCAGGAGAAGTCAGTGTGAAAAGTTATAGCTTGTGTTCCTGTCTGGAGTCAGTGCCTGAGTTTGAAATGAGTGACTGTAAAGAAGATTTAGGATTATCTCTCTAATATAGGGAGATACAAAACTGGGGAAGAAACTGGCATTACCATATTTACTTCTTCTGTAATATATATTCTGATAAGAACAAATGAAGGATTTTTTGCAGATGACTTGAGTAACTAGTTAGTAACTACTATAGTTTTCTGCTTTGGATGTCATTCAGCTCTGACTTTGCCATTTTCATGCAACAGTTTGTGGTGCTTATTTACATTGCCAGACAAGTTAGTTATATTCCCTTTTACTGTCAACAAAGTACCTGATCAGTGTCATCCTTTCTGTAGCCAAAATATTTTCATAGAAACTGCTGTTGTGTTTCTTTTTGCAACCTTTTCTGTTTCTCACTCATTTTGCTGTGCACATGTGGACTCTCCACGTCAACAAACTGTCTTGTGATTAAAGTGAAAAAAGGAAAAAAAATAAAATCAATGTATCCAAGAACCCTTAAATCATAGTGAATCATCTTATATCAGACAGATTTGTATCATAGGTCAGTCACTGAGAACCATACAGAATTTATTTTTGTGACAAGCAGTGAAAAAGTTTCAGCGGACTGGGTGAAGAACATGATTAATTTGCTTCCCTTCACGTTGCACTGCCTGCAATGAGACGATTGTTCACACACACACATCACAATGTTGATGCTGAAATGATATATTGTTCAGCCCTAATCAAATGTTTTGTTTTTCTGTGCAGGAGGCTCTCAGCAGCCTGGAAGACTATGACAAAACCTGTGTTGAATCAGCTCTTAATGGAGTTAATAACTTCGTTCAGCAGGAGTGGGGCAGTGCCTGTCCCTGTCAGGTATTTTGTCCAGTCCTTTATCTACCATCATCACACATCTGAATTAACCATTGATTATCAAAGCTTGGTTAAACAATTTTCCTACAGTGATTTTAGTAATCTGTGCATATTTGTTATTGCACAGCCATGTTTATGTACCTTCTTCTTTGTCCTATAGGTGGTGCTGGTTACTGATGGATCTCTTGGTATCGGAAAGGGTTCCCTACGTCACTCCCTCCAAACACTGAAGCAGCGTGGGGAGGACAAGAAGTTCCCACTTCCGTTCCCTTTCCCTACCAAACTGTTCATCATGTGTGTAGCCAATGCAGAGGAGGTACTGAAACACAATTTTTTTAAAGGCTGTTCCACAGTCAATTTTAATTTGCCTGCATGGTATGTGAACACAGTCTGTCACTTCATGGAGGTAATTTGATCAGATGCTAACTGCTATTGGTTGCAACCAGAAGCAATTGGTCATAAACACCGCCTAAGGTCACAACCTCTGTTAGGGTATTATTATCTTAGAAATTGCTGAAGGGATGTTGAAGGGAATGGCATTTTGACAGGCGTTTCTCTCTGCAGCCAAGTGAGACAGTGTGTCAGAAATAATAAGAAATAATTAAAAGATGGAGGCCCATATGTGAGCTTGGTCGTTTTGAAAATGTTGTTTATCCCACAGTACTTCTGTATGGACACACAAAAAAGTCTGAATGCCATTTGAAACCTCACAATAGTTGTCAAGCACATTATTTTTGTGTCATGTGTATGATTGTATCTACGTAAAATTACAGTGATTACTGCTCACACTAGATTTTCTAACATTGCATTTCTCCGGCCTTGTGTATTTGCAGTTACAGATGACGGATGCCATGGACAACCTGGAGGAGCTTCTTCGTCTCAGTGGAGGAGACGGACAGATCTTTACTATGGAGGGGCCACTTTGCATGAAGAGTGTACAGGGCATGTTTGGGTATGACTGTTAACTGAGAAAATTACACAAGGAAAAATGTATTTTTTCATCTTCGTTTTAATCACATTATGTGTTTGTATCTCCAGGAGGCTGATTGATTACGCGTACTCTCCCTTCCATGCGGTCCTGCACTGTGGGAATCTTTCCTCCGACGTTCAGGTCTTTCCTCGGCCTGAGCCTGTCGTCATAGATGAAGAAGTGGAGCCGATGCCCAAAACAGTCAGCACAGGTACTGAGCTGGCTTCAGACACAATAGTGAAATTAATTTAAATCACTAATTCTGTAAACAAATCTTCATTCTGTTGCACATCTTTCAGATTTGGAAATTGTGGGCTTCATTGAAATCGCTGACATTTCCAGTCCTCCTGTCATATCCAGACACTTGGTGCTACCTATTGCTGTAAACAAAGGTTTGTTTTAACATTTTTACTGTATCATTCTAAAGAACAGTGAATAGACAAACGAGCTGTGTGGCATGTCCAAGGTGCATTGCTTTTGCTTTAACTAATTTTTAGTGACATAAATACGCATTTAAAAACAAAATGAAATAGTTCATTTGTGACTGCTTTATGTTCCCAAGCTTTAAAATTGTTGCTTGGTTCTGCTGTAAAAAGCAAATGGTTTTAGTGAATAGGGTCCTCTAGCAATAAAAACAGCTTAGAAAATGCTTCAGGTTGTAGAAGCAGCAAGAAAAATAGGAGGAAAAAAATCAAAGGAGCTGTTTATAATCCACCAGATCTGTTAGCATAAATTAACAACAAGGAATGGTAATTTTGTCATGTTTAATGTAAGAACATCAATTTTTAAATATACAACAAAATCCATGATCCCGCACTATGTGCAGATTTCTAATGTCAACGTGTTTTATTTGTACTTGATTTCAGATGTGGATGAAGTCGGCACAGGAACCACAGATGAGCTTGAGGAGGAACCTTCTGCCAGTCAAATGGCAGGCAAAAGTCCTAACTTCTGTGTACTTCTACATGGAAGTCTGAAAGTTGAGGGCATGGTGGCGCTGGTCCAGTTGGGGTGAGATGCGACAAACCTGTTAACATGCATGAATTCTGCTACACTCACCTGCAGATTGCTACAGAAGTTTCTGGTTTTAAATAGAGACTTGGAAATGAAAGGGTGTCCAGGAGTGCCACTGCTCTGTCAACAGGCCTCTTTATTTATTGTCACGGTGGTAATCATATTTCCACACATAAATTACAAAGCTAATTGGTTCTTCCTCTGATCCTCCGGAGACAATAAGCTTATGTAATTTTTCCCCTCAGCTACATTTACCTGGTTATACACTGGTCATGCCCCCACCAGATGCAGTTAAAGGGTCATCTTCATGTCATTTTATGCCCACGTAACAATCTTCTTTATTGAGTAATTGTCCAGCACGGCCTTGTCCTCATGTTAGTGTTTCCTTCACTTGACATTTTTATGACCTTACATCTACAAGTACCACAAGAGGTTAAGGTGCAGATGTTGGTAAAACATTGACATGACATATTTGTAATTATAGCAAGACACAAGCACAGAAGTAATTGAAACACACATCTAGTAATACATGAGTAAGTGATAAGCAGAGCTTTTTCTCCAGAGTAACAGTTGATAGATTCAATGGACAAATGTCTAAATGAACTTTCCTTTTTTTATATTCTTCAGGCCAGAATGGTACGGTATGCTGTACTCACAAGCAGACAGCAAGAAGAAGTCAAACCTGATGATGTCTCTGTTTGAGCCTGGTCCAGAGCCTCTGCCTTGGCTGGGCAAGATTTCATATTTGGGACCAATTTCAGGTAAACTTTCAACTGTCTACCATGTCAGGTTTCTCTGCAGATATAGGTCAGACAAATAAGTTTTCCATGCATTCACAATTCTACAGGACCTCTTTTATTTAGCATAAAGTTCCTGCTACTTTCTTATTCCTGAGGGCATAATTTTACAGGAGACACCTCTTTTTTTTTTTTTTTGTAACATTTGACCCACTAACCAATGTACTATGACTGTTTATCCCTACAGATCAAATGACTCTGCATGTGTACACAATCATGTAGTTAATAATTTACCCAGATTTCTCACAGTTGCTTTTATCTTGGTGCAGTTGACCAACTGACTCTGATGTTCTGTTACCTCTCTTGTGTTTCAGAGGCAGCTGAAAATCCCTATGGGGAGGATGACAGTAAAAGTCCTTTCCCAGTGCAACCACAGGTCAAGCGAAGCTATGCCCAGAATGTCACTGTGTGGATTAAGGCCAGTGGATTACAGGTGCAGTAAAATCACTGTAGAAGTGCATTGCTGTTTGTGGAGGTTGATGGAAAAAAACAAAAAAAGAGATACATTTATTAGCGTTGAATAAGTGTCTGATAAAATACCCACTCAGAAAACAATGAATGTGTGACAACATGTGTCAACATCCATCTTGAGAAACGAAATATAGATTCCCATAAAAGCCAATGTCCATCATCCAGGGACGCTAAATCAAAATTGAGTGAAAATGATGTAATATTGTAAAAGCACTGTATTTTAGTCCTGACGTCGACGCTTTCAAGTCACGGACATGTAGATCTTCCCCATCTCTACCATCCAGCTCATATGATGTAAACACAGCACGAGACTATGTTGGTAATGAGGTGTACAATCAGAGCTTTAACCACATGTTTAGCTTGAAGAATGTCTTAATTATTTCTCACTTGTGGAAATGTGATGATGTTGAGTACTGGTGTAAACATTTTAGAGTCATTTGCAGTCCGAACTGACTTCAGTTATTTCTGCTGGTATTGTACAGACTGATGTCCAAAAGATTCTGAGGAACGCAAGGAAATTACCAGATAAAACTCAGACCTTCTATAAGGTAAGAGCAGCTAAAACAGCTCTGAGCAAAGGATATAATCTCTGATATTTTTCAAAAATTGATAACCAATTTGTGTTTTAATCTGGCAGGAGCTGAACCGTCTGCGGAAGGCTGCGTTGGCATTCGGTTTCTGGGAGCTCCTGAAGGGTGTGGCCGATCTGCTGGAGAGAGAGTGCACACTGCTGCCAGACTCAGCTCATCCTGATGCTGCTTTCCAGCTTTCCCACGCTGCCCAGCAGCTCAAACTAGCTAGCACTGGTGACTCTCAGTATGCTGCTTTTGATCACAACATTGTTCCCATGCACACCGACTTCTCAAGCTGAGTTTGTATGAACGGACCGAAATACAGAAGCTCCAGCCTGTGTGGACCGATGTGGGACAGAATCTGGTGTTTCCCAAATGTTGTGTAAAGAAGTCATCGAAGGGGGACACTTCAAGAACTTTTTTGAGGACACGAGTCAGATGAATAACTGAAAATGTTAGCGTGTACATAATTTTTTTTTTACATTTTCCTTTGTAGGATGTTTTTCACAGATTGACCAGATTCAAATTTCATTTTTATTCAGTGTCAAATAACCGCCACATTTACAGGAAACGTGGGAAACAGCTGGTAATGTTGGCATTTAAAATTCAAGTGACTTTCAAAGTAACACAGAGGAAGAGCGATACACATGAATATTGCTAATAAAAGGTTATTGAGCATATGAGACACAAAATGCTTTCTGTATTTTAGCAGTCACCAGTCTGTGTCTCCCAGAGCTTTGTGGGACGGTTCAGAAATCTGAAATAATAATTATTTGTTAAGTATATTGTTGTTTTCTTCATTCTTATACCAGCCACTGTTTATCAGATGACAACAGCGGGGTTTCCTTATCAGTGCTTCTTGCTGTGCATTTGGTCAAAAATACAAGAAAACTAGATCAAAAGGAAAAACACATGATTACACAAGATATGAAGTGCTATGGTTTACAACAACTCTTCAGTACTTACAACATCAGAGTTTATGAGAAATCACTCACTAGCGTGTGTGATCATCCATGCAGTCATGATATATTGCATCATCTGTAGGGTTTTCATGACAGCCATAAGGGAAGTAACTGACAACAGACTTTGTAAAAGTAAACAACATAATAAACCTATAACCGATTTGACTGGATCAGGGTTTTGGAGTATGATGATTATTTATAAAAATAATCTCCAGAAGCAGGCAGCAAAGGTGTTTGAAGGATGTTGTTGGTGTCGAATCTCAATTTGCTTTCCTCTTTTTGGTACGGAAACGCTTCGTTCTCTGCTTGTAAAGGTGCCGCCAGTTGCTATAAAGTCCTGAAGAGGGTGAGAAAATCAAGACTGATGTAAGAACATAAATGGTGACAATGGAACATAATATGAGAGAAACTGTTTTTATCTGGCGACTTACCCAAAAACATGAAAACAGGAAGGACGCGCAGGATGTAAGAGAAGCTGATGGAGGTACCGATGGCTTTCGGAAGAGGAATGCTGAAGAGTTGAGTTTCGTCAAAGATGGGAATGGATTGTATCACAGCAACGACTTCAGTGGAATAAGAAAATAGATTTTAGCGCTTGTGTGTGAATAATTGTTATGAATTCAGAAAGAAGTAAACAAGCTCACCTTCAGCTAAAGCACCTAACGGATACAGTGGCATCCAGATGGTGTACCGCAGCCAAGTGAGCGTTTTCCACTCTGTATTGAAACAGGCCAGCATGTAAAATGGATACCTGTAAATGGAGCAGCATGTTGGCTTTAGACAAGAAACGAGCTGTGATGCAAACAACTAAAAGTCCTTGACAATACATAGGCTAAATAATGTGCTGATTCTTTTAAAAAAAACAAAGTGCTGCACCTTTCTGCTGCCTTGTAAACCTGAACCTTACATGTGTGAAGTGCCACAATAATTTCATTCACATTGTTTTTACTCATGGCATGCTTGTTGTGTGGAGAAGTTGCTTTGCTGCTCAAAGTGTTTTATTGTAAGCCGAATTGTTTAAAAGCCTAAATCTCATTGACTATAAAATTATGTAAAATTAGGTCAACTTGAAGAATTCCAGCTGATTACAAACGAGGTGCATTTACATGAATGTTAACCACGCAGACAAGGCAGACGCATACTTGCCTAAAAATCTCAATGAAGCTCCACAGATAGAAAACGAAGAACACAACTGGCCGGTGATGCATTTCCTCCAAACAACCAAAAATGATGAAGAGGATAAAAAACCTTCCACCCACCTAGTACACAAACAAGAGCCACAGAAGCACAACAAATCAGTGCTTGCACAAGTAATGCACTGCTGCCTGCTCCACCTGTGGCTTCATGAAACCTAAACTCATGCAAAGGAAGTTTCCCACCTGTAGCACTGTTGGTAAAACACTTGTCTGGACTATGCCGAACGCAGCGCTGAGGACCTCGACTACTGCCAGGGTCTGGCAGAAGAACATCACGTCTGACATTGTGTGATATGTGTCGTAGAGAGAATCTGAAATGAGTTTTAGAAATAACACGCCTTACCAAGGTTTCTGTCAAGCACCTGATCAACAAAGAAAAAGCAACATGAAATTTCAAGCTATAGCAAGGTCACAGTTTCTCACCTTGTCCGAACATAAAGAGGCGCACAGTCATGTTGAAAAAGATCCATGAAAAACCAAGAAACTGCACCAGGTTATATACAAACAAAAATCCTGTTTTCAGGCTGACGAACCCTGAAACACAACAAAGAAACACAAAATATTAGATCCCTGCCAACAGAAATAGTAGAGAAACAAGGAGATGCATCTAAATAGTCAGGATTTTTAATGTCCAGTAATCATTTAATTTGCAAAACATTTTAAAACCACCTGATAAAATAAACATTTTTATTCCCTCAGTATTCACACTGACCTTCTTCTTTATGCCTCGAAGCCTTCAGCCTGTTTCTTTTCTCCTCCTTTTTAAAGTAAGAAAAAAAACAAAGAAAAAACAAGCGTCCAGTCCTTGACTTTAGCAGCAATGGTAAAATCTTTAATCAAACATTTCAGTAACACTGGCATCTTGCAAGCCTTTGTCTGTATGCCATTTACTATAGCTATTAAATGGAAATGTCCCACTGACGTACAAACACAACTTTACCCTCACCTTTTCCCGGATCTCCATCTCAGCGTCTGACTCGTCCAGCCAGCGGTCAAAGTCAGGTGCCAGGAAAACAGGTTTGCGCACCTGTGTGGTCAGTCTTTCCCACCAGCCTCGTTGCTCTTTCTGCACTGTAATGTTTACCTGCCGCTGTGTGGACTTGTGGCGCACCTGGGCACACAGGTTCATGTGATGAGAACAGACAGAAAAACTTTAAGGGCATCATTAAGAAGAGGAGATGCAGATATCTCCGTCCAACTTCTAAAATGAATACATACCCCTGGCTTTACTGGTGAGAAAAACTCCAAGCTGAAGTTGTACTCATTTAGTCCTTTTGCACCATGCCCCTGGGCTACACACAAAACACCATAACATGTCAAAAATATTGCTCCTTTTGAAATATTTTCACAACCAAACATACGTGAGATCAATGAATGCATGTCACCTCTAAAATGGAGGACATTCTCATGCACATGGACGTCGATATTCTGCAAAAAGAAAGACAAGCGGATGATGAGATAAGTTCCTCATACATTCTGAGAATTCACGCATCATTTGACTTCCTGTTCACTACCCCTGAACAGAGATATTAATAAATCGTTTCAAAGGACTGATAAGTTAGACCTAAACAACCATTAATATAAGATTACAAAGTATACAATCCAAAAATAACAGTGATATTTAATCATTTTCTTTCTTACAGCAACTCTCGAGGAAATGAGCCATTTGACCTGAATCTGCTCTTGTTTATATCACCGTTTACTAATTTAAGAACAAATCCTGACAACCTATGTGTTGGTTTCTACTTCTTAACATTAACTAAATGGTAAAAGGCTCTCATAAGGAATTGGAGCATGATAAACAAAGGCAAACTGTGGGCAACATTTCTGCAAAGACAATGTGACCGCATAGTGAATTCCTTCACTGCATCCATTATTATATCTGCATATAAAATTGCAGTATCTGGAATAGACGTAGGTGCTGTTGTGCTGAAACATACAGTGTGCAACATACAGTCTTCATCTGGTTGTAATGTGTATCTTTATGCCGACGACACAATTTTGTTCTGTAGTGCCGATACAGTACATTCTGCTGTCAAGGGCCTTCAGGATTACTTTAATCAGTTGCAACATACACACAATGAGGACAAATAGTTCCCAGTGCAGATAAAATCAAACACCTGATCTTCAAACATTACTGCTCAGGACAATTCAGTCACCTCTACTCTCGATAACAGATAATCAAAGCAGTATGAATATCTGGGTCAGGGTTCAAAGTCGTGTGTCCACTCTGGTTTCTTCTACAGGAATAAATCATGTTTCCCACCGCATTGTAGAAAAACCTTTATTGAGACAACCCTTCTAATGGTATTGGATTATGTTGCCATTTTATACATGCATGCATCAGCAGCGACTCTTAAGCCTTTCAACACTATTTAGGACTTTGAACTGCAACCAAACTTGCTATTTATAAAACTCGTCACTGTGAGCTGTGTGCTAAATCTGCCTCACTCTCTGTAAAGTGAGGAGAAACTGATCCACACTTGTGTTTTGTGTATTTTTTTCGTGTTCCTCACATAAACGTAAAGTACATGCTGACTGTAACACAAGACATAAACCCAGTACACGATCAGCATTTCCATATGTGTCCATTGCAGAAATTGATGCCCTAATAGTTCTCATATCTCGTTTTTTTCTATGACATGATGCCTTGCCAGGCAAGATTTCACTGTACTGAAGAAGCAATTATGGTACATGTAAGAATATCCTATTAGCACAATCCCTGCAAAAGGGCAATCTTATATAAGAAGTCACTAAATGAGTAGATTGTTACATGATGTGCACTTAAACTGTCTACAACCTCAACCGAGGAGACAGCGAGAGCTGCTGTCACTGAAAGCTCAGAGAGACACGTGGCCCATGTACAGCATTACAATCGATTGTATTAATTAATGTTACATAACAGTCATTGTTCTCTCTTGAGGAGGACTGTAAGGAGGTATGTTGAGACAGTTGTGGTCCTCATGCAGCCCAAAACATGCTAAATGGGTCTAGTGGTGCATGAATCTTCAATAAGGACACTCACTTTACTTATTTATAAAACCCTTACTTGTTTTTTTTAACCCCATGCAAAAATTCATGGCTTATGCTGAAGGGGCTGACTGTTTTCATTGAGCCTGGAAAATCCAGTTTTATTCATTTCTTTTTAAATCTTAAATGTGCTGCTAAATATTGTAGGTATTCTACTAACCTTGCCTTTTAATGTTTATTGTTATCCAAGTTTAATATTTGTGTAATTACATCTTTTATTTTTCTTCCTCAACTGAATGAGGCCTCCATACCTCAATTCACCCTGAGCTTAGATCCATAGATAGACAGACACTTTATTCATCCTCTTGAATGAATGAATGAATGAATGAATGAATGAATGAATGACTACAGTAAAAGGCAGGTGCATTTGCAGGTAAAACACCTGTCTGTCACCTGTGGGGCAAGCTGATAAAGTTACACTCCACTCCTGTGTTCCAGGTGGTGATAAGAGGTTACTTTCTAGATTTATTAACCCATATGTGACACATTTCCCTAAAATCAAGATAATCATCTCAGCACCAGTGAACAGGTTTGGTGGGTTCAAACCTGAGTCTTAGCAGAGGGCTTTACAGAAATCAACTATCACCTAAAATGACTGGTCTATTCATATCCAAATATGCAAACTGAGCAGCTGGGCAGCGTTGAGACATTTAAAACATCCTGCAAGCTTCATTTGCATCATTTACTCTTTATCCCCAGAAACATAAACAGACCGCAGAGAAGCATGTCTATGATGAAAAGTGACGGCAGGAAGCAGCTTACACTCACCTGAGCGTCTGTCAGCTCCACTCGCAGGTAAATTTCCTCATGACGCTGAGCCCAGTAGACAAGAGGTGTGAGTGTCATTGTAGCGTGTTTTTGTTTTGCTTTTGTTTTACTGAACTTAGTTTCAAGCGGATATCAGGCTGAACAGCACATGAGTAGACTCTCGCTGTCCTCAGAGGCTTCAGCAAACAGGCTGCCCAGAATATTCTGCGGAGGCACGCACTCGCCATCTGTCAGACGTAGCGGCGTGCTCGTGCCTGAGACGGAGCCGTTGGCGGTGCTCTTCGCTGATTGGCTGCTGGCGAATATTTACGGAAGTGGAGGAACTTCACAGGAAGACAGTACGACAGCGGTTTGACGACCTTCCTCTTGGTGGTATGCGAACATGCAGACAGACGAGCACGTTTCATGTCTGAAAACTGATTTGTTCGACTCCTCCGGGACTTTCCGTGTTCTTGTCGGAGTAACAGGAAGCGTCGCAGCCTTGAAGCTACCTCTTTTGGTCTCCCAGCTTCTTCAGCTCCCCGGGGTGAGCTGCGTGGCGTATATTATTACTATTTATTTTTGTTGTTATTGATTTTTTTGTCTGATACTTTGTTACTAAGTATAATCAATGCACCTATACACCTTCACCGTTTCTCTACCTTTTATGACACGCAGGAGCTCATCTTTACCGCAAGATGGAGACGTTAGGTAGCAAACTCCCAGCAGGATAGGAAATATAGTCAAGTCAATTTTATTCATGAAGCATATTTAAAACAACAGGAGCTGAACCAAAGTGCTGACCCAAAGATTGCAAAACTAATCTGAATAAAACACAATAAAATAAATAGAATATAAATGATGCAGTGCAATAACAGACAAGATCAGGGGGTCATGCTGTACTTGGTTGGAATACCAAAGAGAAGAGGTGTAGCTTCAACAATGACTTATAGTTCTAATGCTCAGCTGAAGTACTGTTTTTAAACATTTACTGCAGTATATTGTGTTGATTATTTAAAGTCCCCAAAAAATGCATTAAATGACAGTGTAAGAAATGTTTTTTGTTTGTTTGGTTGTTTTGGGATTAGTGGCTCCACTTTAGTCGGTCTTCCTGAACGAGCAAATGCATAATAAAAACCCTATTTAAAAAAATAAAATAAAATTTGAAATTAAATTTTTATCATTGTTTATTTTCTGCATTATTCCAGTTTTTTGATTTTTCTTTTTAACTTTTGCTATTTTGATATTGCAATAACCATAAAACCTTTCTTGTTTACTCTAATAGGCAGTTTTTTGTTTGTTTGTTTGTTTGTTTGTTTTGCAGTTTATGGCCAATATTTGAATTGGTTAATTAAGCAGATATGATGGATGAAATCACTCCTAATTGGTCCCAACTGGAAAAATTGTATAATATTGTGACTGGACTAAAAGAAAAATCATGGTTTTCTACCTCATACTGCTTCAAATAATTTTATGAAAAGTGGTACCCAGTTGGGACTGCTGTTGGAGGGATTTCATCGATCATACCTGTTCACTAGCTGTCCTAATATTGGCCATAAATTTTTTTAAAAACAATAATTTCTGGAGTATTGTAGAGAGAAAAATTGACTTTTTTGGACCAAATTTACACAATCATATAACTTGTTTGTATTCTATCAAAGCAAGGTTGTGCCAAAAGAAAATCTCAATACTCTAGCTACATTATTTCTCAAGTTATGGCACTTCAAACATTGCTTCACAGATTGGCACGAACAAAGTGATGCAAAAAAGGACATGACCCCACTCGTTGTCAGATTATGATGGAATGATCCTGTTGTACTAAACAGGGAAATGCAGCTATGTTTCATTTGCGTAGCGATGCAAATACACCCTGAAATGTATTTGTAATAGCTAACGCCACACGCTCAGCAAAGATAAACAAATTTGACCTGACTGACATGTCAAACTCAAGAGTAAGTGTTTGATCTGTGTTAATTAGAATATGTGTGGACATCAAAACTGAACCTAAAATGAAATCTCTAGCTACTAGGCTGCATGTCATGTTCCAGGAAGCAGGTGGGCATAATGGTCCAATTCATTAGTGTAATCTCCACCAAAATGCTATCACAGTGTGATCGCTCAGGGCACTGGAGGTAGTAATGTGAAGTAAAATTGTAAAAAGTGTAGAATTTTATTATACATACACGCATCAGCGGCAACTCTTAAGCTCTTGGACACTATCACATTGTAATAACATTTATGACTGGTGACAGCTATAATACTGAATAAGTGGATTGTTACTTGATGGGCACCTTCACTGTCTACAGCCTAAACAGAGGAGACAGAGAGAACTGTTGTCACTGGAAGATCAGAGAGACGTGCAGGCAACCACATGGCCCATGTATGACAGTATCATCATTGTAAAAAGTAATGTAACATAAGAGGCATTGTTCTGTCTCGAGAAACAGAAAATGGAGTGTTGAAACTGTAAAATTAAATTACAGAAGGCCATCACCCAGATTTTAGAATGTATGTAGATGCTGTTAATTTTTTACTTAAATCGGCAATTGACGAGTGAACAACTAGTTTAAGACTTTTATCTCTGTAATCATCTCTAATATTTGCAAGGAAAATTCAGAGTAGAAAGAGTGAGAGCTGTTCACACTGTCGCCTGAGTCAAGAAACTCAAACTACTGAATGCATCTGAGCATGATTATGACGAAAATGAAGATCTCACCATACGGGTGCTTCAAAAATTACTGCTGGATACAAGCCAGAAAAAAACATTACTACAGCAAAAATGTGTGCTATCATACACATCACAACAACACATTTCTGTTAAAGTTACTACTACTTATGAATGAAATTATCCCTCATCCTATTTTGTGCATCATTTACTCGTGTTAGTTCAGTTAAATTCATGACCAACATTTATTTGTTTTAAGAGCTGATGTTCATGTACTAATATGAGTAACATCATTAACATGTTATTTGTTCAAAACATGGTGCTTTGCATTAAACATTCTGTACTGATGCAACAAGTAGGTGACACATTGCAGAAAAGGAAATTCTATTTCTGCAGCTACTGAATGAGCAGATTGTTATCGAGATGAGAGGACAACAGTGGCACACACTTAAGCTGACCCCTAACTGTACACTTAAACGATCTACCGACTATTTTATTGGGCATTTGAACTTTTGCCACATTTGAACTGTCCACGACCTGACATATGTTCCCAGAGGTGACAAAGAGAGACCCTGTTCTTTGAGAAGAACAGAAAGACAGCCAAGCGACCACATGACCGATGTGTGAAAGCGTAGCCAATTGCATTACCAGTATGTAACCAGTATGTAACATAAGAATCATTGTCCTCTCTTGGTCAAAAGAGCGTAAAGAAAAATGGTAAGAAAGGCACGATGCTCACACAGCGAGACACATTGATTGATGGTTATCTGATATTCATGTCTTGTTTTAGGTGGATGTAAGAGTGGTAACTACAGAGCATGCCAAGCACTTCTACAATCCTGCAGAGGTTTCCGTAAAAATCTACACTGACAAAGATGAGTGGGAGGTAATAATATTCTTGACTTACATGTTCTAATATAGCCGTTATAAACTGACAATATATAGCAGAGTTTCTCAAACCTGCTACCACCGTTATTATAACAGTACTGTGGAGGATTTCTAAAATGTAGATTTTAATAGTTAGTATTTTTAAGAAACTGTTAAATAGATGTACAATATCTGTTTTTTTCGACAGTTAAATGTGAAGGGTCCCTTCATGCTGCTGAAATTAAATGTTAAACAAAATGCCATAGTCAGAATCATACTGAGTAAATTAAAGTGGCATGAGTTCTCAATTTGACAGCTTTACAGCTACTCGTGACAAGTTTGAGACATAGAAACACGGTCAAGGGCCAGAAAAGATTGAGAAACACTAAAGCATCGTGCACTGAAAAGGAAGTGAAAAAGTGAGTGTCTAATTTTTCCAAACACCATGTTGTGTGTTTAGCTGTGGACCAAGAGATCTGACCCTGTGCTACACATTGAGCTACGGCGCTGGGCAGACCTGCTTGTCATCGCCCCCCTTGATGCCAACACTCTTGGAAAGATTGCAAGTGGCATTTGTGACAATCTGCTGGTGAGAAAATTACATTATTATTTGATTATGTATTAAATGTTTTGGCAAATAACAATTTATTCAATACACAATTCCTCTGAAATTGTGTCTCCAGTTGATTCGTTTTTGTCCTTTGCAGACATGTGTGGTGAGAGCCTGGGATACCAGCCGTCCTCTCCTCTTCTGCCCTGCTATGAATACGGCTATGTGGCTGCATCCCATTACAGCACAGCAGGTGTCCAAGCTGAAAGAGTTTGGATATGTGGAAATCCCCTGTATTGCCAAGAAGCTTGTGTGTGGAGATGAAGGTGGGTTTCAATACCAGGAAAAAGTAACCTCAAAATGTTAGATTTGCAATGATGTAATACAGAGAAAAGCAGCCCTTTTGCATTTTACTTGAAAAAAACAGCCAAAGTGATATTTGTTTTCCTCAAATAATTGAATAATCAACTAATCATTGCAGTATTGAATTAGAATATTTACATTTTTTTTTCAGTTTGTAGTAAACTGTTGCCTAAACAGTTTTAATGTGTGCATAAAGAAGTTTTACTGAGTTAATTTACTGCCATAAATGTTTTGTTTGCAAGAGTTGTAATTGTAAAATAAGCAGAAGATGGGCAAAATGCAAGAGAGAACAGATGCAGACAGATGTGCAACAGATGTAGGTATGATACTGAAAGTGAACAGACACGTAGCGTGTAGTGGGAAATTATGTGTCATCAGTGGTCTATGTCGTGACAAAGTCTGCCGACAGTGGCCAGTGATGGTTGGGCAACCTCATCCAACACAAAAATAGTCTTCAAACAGCTTTCATTATGTGCATAAGGTTTATTCAAAACACAGGTTGCAAGAATGAACGTGAGCAAATCTTGAGATTGTCTCAACAATGCAACTTTGCAATTTCTCCAGCTCTCCTCCTTCTCCTGTAAAACCACAACCCATTCTTTTCTTTTTTTTAAAGACCAATCAAGACATCTCTGCCACCATTATGTCTGAATTTGTTCACAGCTGAAGGTGTACAATCTAATCGAGGCAAATTTTCAACCCCCCCCCCTTTTTTTTTAAACTAAAAAAATACTTTCCCTCAGCTTCAACCTACATCTACACCATCTACTGCTCAACCCTAGAGAGAGCGTCCCCTGTTTCCTTACTCATGCAAAAGAGCACGTACGCCACTATCACCTGTCCTGCACCTGCACCCACTCTATGCTCCAGACATGTACCGCTCATCGTCAAATTCAGCTGAGGTTTTGCATTGTAGCCTTAAAGGTCACTGTGGCCCACAAGCACACACTTAGAGGCCTCACACATGAACATGCAGGCTCTGGTGTCAGACAATCTTTCTATTCTAGGTGCTTTATTTTATAACTTTTTCATGGGTTGTGATTACACAGGTTTGCACAGGATGATCCATCTTGTCCTTGAATCAAACTTAATCACCACTGAAACATCATATTTTCCAATATTTGTCATTTGTTCAGTTTAAAATCCCACAACATCTAAAGGTGAATAAATGAGTACAAAAGGCAAAATGGAAAAGGCAACAGTTGTACAACAACAAGGTGCACTTAACCCAGATAAATGTACATTTTTTTCCACATTATGTTATTTTTAACAAGCAGCACTTACTGTGTGGAAAGTTCCAGACACTACTTTGTCTGCTTTGCATATTTCACCTTGCTGCAGCCACTTAAAAATGTATTTCAGGTTGTGTTAGACTGTGTATGACTGTTAGGTGTGGTTGCAGGTGAATAGCGCTAATTTCCAACGACATGCTCCAGGAGATGTCTCAGGTGTCCCGGTAAAGTGACGTTATAAACTGCTCATAATATGATCCTGTGCCCAAACAGGATCTGTCATCGGATTCAGTCATTCGTTCAACCTTTATTTAAACGCAGCGATACACTGGGGTGGAGGCCTGATTTACAGGACAGTAAACAAAGAGCAAATTAGCAAAAAAAAAATTAGGCATACAAGCAAAAATGTAAAAAATGTAAAAGGCAAATTAGTAAAATCATAAGAGAGTTGAGAATATTGAGAATAAATAGTGCAATTTTTATTGAAGACAAAGTGAATCAGCTAAAAAGAGAGCAGGTGGAAATGAGATCAGATGTAATTTAAACCTAATTGGCCCTAAAAATGAAAATGAGTCAAACTTCAGACTATTTTGCATGTTATTCCAGGTTGCAGGAGCACAGTGAGTAAAATTTGATTTTCTCACAAAAAAACAGTTGACACCTTCAGCATAATCCCATCATGTGAGTGAGTTTGATAAGAGGCCATATTAAAAGATAACAGCTGAGTTATATAATGGGCTAAAAAACAACAACAACCAAAAAACAACACAGTTCGGGTTGTAAATAAATGAATACAACCCTGTGCCTATCATGCCCCTAAAAACACAGTTCCCACAGTCACACAGAAAACCTTCTATGTCCAGATGGCTGGTAATTGAAGAACATCTAGGATGACCTTGGTTTACAACCAGTGGAGCTTTGCGTATTTCAGACATATTAAATGAGAGGAAACGCTGGAATGGGCCCAGAACTGATTGGCAGAAATCTGGAGCAATGGACAACATGACTGGTATCCTGCTATTTCACTGAAGCTGATAAAATAATGATAAAACAAATGAAAATGGCATGGAGAATAATATTGGGACAGTTCAATATTTTCCTTTCATTCGTTCATTGTATTTTAAAATGTATGTTTTGGATCCTAATCCTGTTGGAGGAGCAATGACGGACCGACGCTGTGTGCAATGCTTTCCTCCACAAGGTCTGGATAATCTTCTGACTTCACTGCACCCTGTGACAGATGCAGCAATAGGGTCCCATGACATAACAGAGCCTCCTCCATGTTTCACAGTGGAGACGGTGTTCTTTTCTATGAAAGCTTTTTTATTTTTCGTCCTGTGACCACAGAGCGGATGTGACTTACCAAAAAGCCCTAATTTTGTTGTTGTCTGTCCAAACAGCATTTTTCAAGAAGCATTGTGACTTTCCAATAACTATTTTAGAACACTCCTGTCTGTTTTTTTTTTTTATGTTTCTCTTTAAAAAGTGGTGCCTTCTTCCCTTCTTCCAACTTTCATTCTTAAAATGACATACAATGCCAGACACCAGAAACCAGAAACTGTTTTTTGATCTTTACAGTGATACTGGATGTGTTTTGACGTTTCTTTTTTGGTTAATTTTCCACCATTCAAATTATTTATCTACTTGATCTGGAGTCCAAGGAGGTTGGCTACAGTCTCATGGACCTTAAACTTCCGAATTATACTGGGAGCTGTGGTCACACACACACACACATCAAGCTGTTTGGATATGGCCTTCTAGACCATGTTTGCCAATTCTTTTCTTTTTTATTTCCTAAGTGCACTCCATAAAACTTCCCCTGGTTTCTATCTTCTAGTAATTCTTGACATGGAGAAGTGTCTTGTCAGCTCCCTTCCTCAGAACCTGTACTTAAGAGGCAAGTGGGCTTCAAAGTGCTTGTTCAACCGTTGAACAGCGTCTGAAACCTCCTCCACCCACAACAGCACAACACTTTTGTTGCTTTTGTGAAACGATAAGCGTGCCCACTTCAGGCAGCGTTTGGTGTGAGGAGGCAAGGAGGCAGGGTTTTAACTTCTTTCTCAAGAACTTTTTTCATTTTGTCACACTTTTGTAACATTTCAAGTGAACGAATGAGGCCAAACCATTTGAACAATTGACACATCTCACCAGCATCTATTACTGCCACCGTTTTAACTCAGCCTTCAAGTGCTCAGAGTAATCAAATGTGCTCAGAAGACACACCATCAAAGAAGTTAGTTTCGAGCATAACCTATCTTTAGTCACACCAGAAGACCACAACGGCTGGGTCTTGATAGAGGTGGCACACTTCAAGATCTTCCGCTTAAGACTAATAGACGAGATTGTCGCCTGAAGAAGACGCTTTCAAACTTCTTATTTCATCTACAGTTTGGGTCAGTATGCTTTTATGATCATCTATTCCCTCCAAGAAAGTAGACCTTTATTAGCATTCGTTAGCAGAGCACTCAGGCTTTACAACAAATACATTTTTTTTCCTTTTCTGTTTAACTAGTTTTGTCATTTTGGATTTCATTTACTCAAGTGTAATAGACAGTTTTGTTGATCAAATGGGTAGACATGACAGGGAGCTGCATCGGTGTCTGTCAGACTCATTGCCTTTGCTATTGGCACGTTGTGGCCTCCTTCCAAAGATGGAACAAGCAGATACAATACTACAATGCCTGGAAGCGTAGAGTCTACAGACTACATACAGTGCACTTTGTACTTGCGAACGAGTGTGAAATGGGGCCTGTCAAAACTCTGTAATATAGCGTACTACTATTTCATCGTGTCATCCTTATTGCAACTCCCATTCATTCCATTCATTCATTTCATTTGTTGCCACGGCATCTCCTACATGGCTACATGGAGTGTGCATGTCTTTCACATGCCTGTATCTTAACATGCTTTAACATTTGTTGAATCTTTAGATGCCGTGGGTGATTAGGTGAGTAAAACATGCTCAGTATTGGAGAGTATTGGCTCCAGAAATAAGTCTCCACAGTTATCCTGCTTCAGTAATGAGTTGGACAGTTGCTTATCTTGTGTTTTCAGTAAATTTAAATGAGGTTGGCCCAAGGGGCAGGTACAGGAACTTGTCCCCTGATGACACCCATTAACAGGATAAGGTTGTTTGTTGAAGGGTGGAAACTACGAATCTGGCTTTAAAACTCAGTCATGTAACAAGCGATGCAGAAAACTAATTGCTGTTAAAAATGATTGCTTTACGGAGTGTACACTTTTGTGCAGTTGTGCTGTTATTCAAGGATATCAACAGACTGGACATTCAGAAGTCAAGTTTAATTCCTCGGCTTTGTAAGCTTCTTACTTTGTCCCAGTGGTGACGGGATGAGGGCCAGTAAAATGTACCCTGCATCTGCATGATCCAGTGTAAGACACTGATTGTGCCTTATCAACTAAGATGTGTTTGCTGGCGACATTGGTACGTTACTCTAGGGACATTTTTACAAACTATTATAAATGAAGGACAAACGTATTCTTCTGTGGAAAGACATACACATAAAGCCTCAAAAATAATAAAGTATTGGTCCAACGTCAAGGTTTAAAGAAATGATCCACTGAGGAAAGCTTTTACTTTTAACGTTGTTGGTGCAGCTCGTGTTAAATTTCATATTAAGAACATAACATAATCAAGTTTCTGATGGTGCTGTGTCTTTTTAATGCACCAGTGGGATCAGAACAAATCATTTAGAAGTCCTAGCTAAATTTCAGATGCAAACTATGCGACTGCACAAGAAAATATGTGCGTTCATGTGCATTTACAAGCTTGGAGAATGTATGCAAAGATTTGCATCGCAGTTGCATGTGGTTCCTTTGTGTTTTTGCTTCAAGCCACTGACAGATAATAATTATCCTGTCCTGCAGGAGGTATTTCTATAACCTGTCATTCTTTCCTTTGCTGCAGGTAAAGGTGCCATGGCGGAGGTGTCGACTATTGTCCACGCTGTCAAGCAGTATTTACAGAAACCAGATGAGTCATCTCAGAAAACATGAACGTCACATCATATTGTGCATTCCAGCTGACACCAAAGACCAATACAAAACAAACACGACTGCTTGCCTTCAAATTTATGTCCGGACTTTCAAGATCCTACACACCCATGGTAAACTCTCACAGCTGCTCTCACCTATTTCACCCGACAAGTCCTCTTTTTTAGGATTGTGTGGTGGGTGTGTCCAGGAATTGACTGGCATCTGCCTGATTCTTCTGTTCGTCTTGTTGCACCTGTTAGGGCAGGACTTGTTTACCCTTTGCATTCGTACTTGAACTGTGAAAATCTCATGTAGTTCCTTGCTTAGAGTGATCAAACTGCAACATCTGGAGCCGGCTCACTCCTGGAGCGGTTTTTAATACCACCTATTCATCACAGCAGCGTCATTGATGAGCGGTCGGAGAGAGGTTTACGATCAGATGATAAAGGTCATTTAAACCGCCCAACTTTTAAATGTTTGATTGTGCATTTAGTTTCCAAAGCAGCACTTTATTAATGTCATATCAATTAGCATATATAGGTTCATGTGTGAATTGACTCTTTATAGTTGTTGTTTATTGAGCATCGATGATGTGAAGGTGATGAAGAAATTCTCCGCCGATACCGTGTTGTTGGTATATAAAAAGGTTAGCTGCAACAAGTCCGGTATCTCCGACGCCATGGTTTGCCTGTGAGAGGATTCAAAGCCAAAGAGAATCACCCTCCAAAACAACCGTAACTACTGGCTTATATAGGGGGCTGTTTACGTAAACCTAAGACAAAACATATGGTTCATATCACGAGGGGAGCCGTTCTCTAGACAAAGAGGCACCTCTCCTGCAGTACCCAAACCTTTGACCTAGGGACCCCTAGCTAAACATACCAAACCCATGAGGTGGAAACATCAGATACCACACACTGACTGTGCTTACTGTATTTTACATATTTCCCTCACCCCGTACTTCAAAGGTAGCTGGCAGAGAAATGATGCACCGCTGCCAACCTTTTGAAAAGAGTGATATCAAATGGACAGTTTGACAAACCTGTTTAATTACGTGTCCCACCTGGCTTTCAAGGGCGTTCTCCGACTTTCTGTGTCACTGTTTATTTTGTCTGTATTATTGGCTCAGTAAACAATACAGATGTGCTTTTATGGGGAATGATATGTTTAATGCGGGCGTATTGTTGCGTGTCAAATACCAGTACAAATACCAACTCAAATAAAGGCAAAACATTGTACCTGTTGTTACAAGGTCACTGTGAACCCTGCACACACTTTTAAATTATACACATTGCAATTAAGAATAAATTAAGCATTTCCGATCCTGATTCTGAATTGAAAGCACAGCTAATAAAAAGATCCACATCCATTGTGTCAGCTGTCTGTAAATGTTTCACTTTATTTCATTTGTATTTCATGATGAGATTTGGTTTTATCAGCAGTAACACACATCTTGTAGTTTGAAGAGAAAAAAAATGCCACAAAATGAAGTGTTTAAAGCAGCATAGATGAACAATCAGCAAAGTGTGTCTTTACAAAGAAAGGATTTTTAGTGTTCACAGCATTCCTCTTATTTGATGTGCCGATGCAGTTATTTATATAATACAAAGCAGCGGAAATTTCTTTTCAACAAGGCAGTTTAATGGACAGACTTTTTCTGCAGGAACGTCGACCATAAACCTGTTACCTGACTTATAGATGTCTCAGACTGAATAACCACTATGCACTGTAGTCATGGCAAAGATACATTCTTACTTTGTTTGTGCAGACAAGAGCAAAATCATTTTATTGGTATTTTAAAATTGCTTTAATGTTTTACAAGTGCTTTTTTTTTTTTTTTTTAACCATGACTCCAAGTACCAAAGGTCAAAAGTGAAGAAACCCATGGACCACTTAGAGATAGACATGTTTATCTTTGTGGAAAACCTTCCGTCTCCTAACAAAGTGAAATGCACCAATCTGGGTTGTGTCCAGAAAAGACAGATGACAGAAAGGCAAATCTAACCAGAGCAGGTTTGTGTATATCAGTGAGCTGAAGCAGATAGTAACGACTTGTCTTCCTACTCGTAATAAAATGAAAGAAAGTGAACCTTCCAGGTCACAATGTTGGAGCTTCTCTGTAATATCACCGTGGACCGTTTTCGACTACCTGTCTTATTTATTTCCCATAGCGTGTGTGCACTCTGCACAAGAAAACCTTCAGAAGCTGATTCTTGGCAAGCATTGTGGATACTGACCTCATTCTAACCGTTGATACCGGTACTATTTCAGTGGTTTCAGTTATTTTGGTTTACTACGCTGGCGCATCAGCACAGCTCATTCTACAGCAAACCACCTGTTCGTTCTTGTGGGAGCCAAAGACTGTGTGGTGGAGTCTGGCGCTGTGTGCCCAGACGTCTTACAGGGGGGGCAGTGTGGTGTTGTCACCCTGCGACAAGTGCAAGTGTTTGTCTTTTTGTTTGACACGTGGACCAAGAATGAGTTAAATAAACTGTGGCTCAGAGGTAAAAATGAAGTAAAGCGGTTGTAAATCTGCACCCAGAGAGGTGGGGGGACAAATTCAGGAATAAAAGAAGATTGTTTTCAACCTACAGTCAGTGTCTGTGTTCATGAACCAGCCTCGGTTTGCAGTTTGAAAATTTGCACATAACTCTGCCTATCTCGGAGTTTGATCTATTGTTTTGGCACATGTCAGGTTCATTCATGGAGATATTTATAGATTTAACGGTGGCTTAAATTATAAAGATTCAGAGCTCTCCAGATTCATTGAAGGTGTTTTACAAGAGATCAAGACACAATAACTTTTATCACGAGCTAAATCCTAAACTTCACAGTACAGGTGTGAAGTTCATCATTGAAAAGTTTGTTGTCTTTGCTGAAACAAATTCAAACACAAAAGTCTTTTGTGATCACACTCATCACCGGTGAGTCATGAATCGTGTTTCCTTCCCGTCACATATTTCTCCTCCCTGGAAGAGAGAATCTTTTCTTCTTAGATACACAGACACTTGTGCTCTCTGTGTTTTTTTCTGTGCTGTCTAGATAGTTTTGTTTTATCTTGATTTATCTCCGTTCTCACCAATTCCAGTAGGGCCGGAGGAAATTTGGCTTGCAAATAACCAGAGGCATTGTTACTGTTGAGCTGTTGAGGTTGCAGCGAATCAAGCCCTGTGAATGGCTCTGCAAAATGAGAAGCATCCTTCCCCGAGCCGTAACCTGTTCAGCTGCTATTGGCTGCCGTGTGATGCTGTTAATGAGGCCGGAGAAACATTACATCAGCCGCTGTGACGAGGGGGAGTGTCGCCGCGGCCTTGAACGCGCCGTGGAGGAGTTTGCAGCCTGCTGGTGCGTTTGATGGGAATGGACATCATGTTCTCACAACTAGGGTACAAATCATGAAAACTTCAGATAGACGATGAGAAATAATCAAAGGTGCACTCCTCAAGACAAAGCAAACTGATTTTCCACTGCTGCCACTTCAATATACGCTTATCAAAAGATGTCTCCCAAATAGTATAATCAGACTTTTCTTCTGTGAGTTCGTGCAGGAGCAAACTGATCCTTACGTGTCGCTGCGTGTGATTAAGTCTGCAAGAGAGTGACTGAGCAGCGTGTCAGCTCATCACATGACAATTGTCACTTTAGTTTCACTTTGGATTAACAGCCAAGCCTTAGTTTATGTGTCAGTCACTAATTGGGTCAAATACTTCTCATTGATTTATTATTGTTATTACAATCTTAGCCTGAAGCAGCTCAAAACTTTACCACTACTACTTTATATTTGCTACCTTTAGGTATTACCAACTTTATTTCATCGGAACAAGACTTTCACGACCAGCATAAGCTACACGGTATGAATGAGTGACATCAGAAATGGGAGGCACAGAAACGTCAGATAGCAACACATTAAAATCTCAAGGGCATGAGAAGGAATCCAGCAACGAAGCAGTTCAGTCATCCAAAAAGAACCATTGTGTCTGAAACTAGTTCTGCCACAGTTGGTATGTAAGGTACATGTGGGGCATGCACTGTCCGCTGAAATAGGTTGTGGTTTAAATGGAAGAAGGCATGCAAAGATTGTTCAGAAGCACAAGCAGTACAAATCTAAGCCCAACACCTAGCCCTGTCGTTTCTTTAATCCCAAATTCAATGCAGCAAATGGGAGACGATCCCAAATTAATTTGAATCACATCCAACACTGTATATAGCAGCAAATTTGGTTATTCTTAAAGGAACATAGGTTTATTTGCCTCGTTGAAGCAACTTGTGAGAAAACCCATGGATCGCATTAGTGTTAGACATGTTTATCTTAGTGAAACCCCTCCATCTCCTAACAAAGCGAAATGCACCAGTCTGGATTGTGTCCAGAGAAGACAGATGACAGAAGGGCAAATCTAACCAGAGCAGGTTTGTGTATATCAGTGAGCTGTAGCAGATAGTAACAACTGTCTTGTTGCTTGCAATAAAATGAAAAGGAACTGAACCTTGTAGGTCACAAGCTTGGAGGTATGTCGTCTCTGTAATGTTGTTACAGACTCTTTGCTTTATAGGAGATCAGAATATTATTATGTTTTATTACAACCTAAATCAGAAACTTTACTCTGCAGGTATAAAGTTGATCACTGAGAAGCTTTTTTCTTACAATCACACATCTTAAAGATTTATTCTTTTACAGTACACTAAAAAAAAAAAACAGTTGTCTTGGTCACACTCATCACTGGTGAATCATGACTTTTATTTCCCTGCTGTCAAACTGTGATTAATTTCCCAACAATGATTGTTTTTCTTTCTTTCCACGAAAGACAACCTTCTCTTATGACACACAGACGCTTGTTCTGTCTGTGTTTTTTCTGCTCTGTCTAGGTAGTTATGTTTTATTTTGATTTATCTGTGTTCTTTTTGTGTTCTCACCAAATCCAGTAGAGCTGGAGAAGATTTGGCTTGCAAATAACCAGGCACATTGTTACCGTTGAGCTGTTGACGTTGCAGCACATGGAGTCATGTGAATGGAAGCATCCCTCAGTGAGCCATAACCTGTCCTGCTGCTATTGGCTGCCGTGTGATGCTGTTAATGAGGCCAGAGGAACTTTGTTTTTTAAATCCAGTGGTTAATTTGCAATGACAAATGAGTATTATACAGGAACGGTATGATTAAGCAAAGATGAAGGCATTAGAGCGCTTGAACATTCGATGACACCGGTGACCTGACGGCTAACTCGCTATAGTGTAAATTGTGTGTGTCAATACGTGTGTGCGCTCTTCGGAACATGTGCAGCTTGTGCGTCTGATGCAACTCAGGCAGTCCCTCGGCTCAGCGTGTACTCGCTGGCCTCTGGGAACGTTCAAGAGTGTTTCATCAGACACTACATCCTGAGAGATCACCCGCTCTGCTCCCTCTGTCACCACAACTCACTTCATTGTCTCTGAGACGTTTAAAAGTGGTAAACATCTCGTGGTTTCACTCAGGAGCAAATCCAAAATAACGCATCGCATTTGTCTTTCACCGTTTTTTGGCACAGCGTAGTTCAGATGGTCTATTTAAAATTTGACATACATACAGTTATAGGTTTACATCTTTTGCCAAGCAGAAATGTGATGTAAGATGTTCATCTGTTTTTAATCGCAAACGTGGAGACAATTTTATTTGTTGTATGCTTTTGAAGAGATTCATTTTGAAGCGGCACAAATTCTTGGGTTCAGGCTGGTGGCCTCTCCTCACTATGATGCATTTATTACTTTCTTTGTAGATATAAAACCAAAACATTGTCGTTTCTTATTTCTATCCAGGATATGAACCTTTTAAATAGTCACTCTCATCGATAGCCCCTTATTTGAGGTTATTTGTTTACCTTAAAAGTAGCTCAGATTGTCAGCTAAATGTTTAGATCATAATGCATTTATATATTCAATCAATCAATCAGTCAATCAATCAGTCAGTCTTTACTTTTACAGCACAACTCATGCGCTAAATGCCATTCTGAGTGCTGAACATAAAAAGACTTTTAAAGAAAGCACAAGTTTAATTAAAAACAAATCAGAACAATAAAGAATACAGGATAAGAACGATGTATTTGCAAATTTTAATTTTTAAAAAGGAACACAAAGCCAGGTTTAAAGGTTAGTTTGAACTTTTCTTTTAAAGATAACCAACTTCTGATCTGTGGCCTAATAGAGGAAAGTTCTACGGAAGAAAATCATTAACAATACAGAACTGCAAACTCTGCTGCTGGTAAAATAAAAAATCTGATAAAGGAGGCAGCAGATCACTTTAAACGAAAAATAAGATCAAATCAATCCAGTGACTTCATTCTGTGTAATCATTCACAGACTTGGCTACCACAAACAGTTCTGCAAAGGGAATTCAGGGCGTTTGACAATCTCTGATCCTTTTCCTGAAAACTCTCAACATACAACTCTGTCTTACACAGCTGCGCCACCTGTCTCACAGCTGTACTGTGTGTGTGTGTTTCGTACTTAATTTTCACCTTCAAGATTTGTGTTGCCCCTTGATGCATTGTGTTGGTTAGCCTCGGGCTGTAACGCCATGGTAACTGGAAATGGGGGAGATGTGAGAGCGCTCCGCTGGGAGAAGTCCCTCCTATGCGAAACCCCACCGCTGTCGAGCATCTCTTTACCTGCGAAGGGCCCCTGAGACTAATGGAAGCCACTGACTTGTCTAGACTGAACTGTGGCAGCCACACAGGGACACATAAATGAGACTCCAGCTCACAGGCGAAGAGGGGCGGGTATGATGCAAGTGCAACAAGAAGTGAACTCATGAATCCGGTGAGAGTGGAAGAATTTAAGTTTACAATAACGCTATAGTGGTTTTACTATTTTATAAACGCAGGCGACTAAATCAGACTTCACTGGTGCTGTTACAGGCTTGGAACTCACTGAAATGTAGGACGGGATTATTGCAAAGAAGCAAAGCCAGGCTGACTGCAGGTAATGACTGACCTGATTTTAACTTTGGTCAGCTCAAGTCAACCATTAACTACATTAAGATGAGGTCAACAAACAGCCATTCTGTGCCGCTGAGGCTTCTTTCACAGCAGCAGTTTGTCTGTTAAAGTTATTTATTGTATACTCCTTAATTCAATGCTTCTTTCTTTGCCCCTTTTCTGTGCATTTCCCTTTTCTTAGATGACATACATCCTCTTCACCTGTCATGTGAGGCGACTAAATATTAACTCATTTGACTGTTGTGTCACCAGGATGTTGTTAGGTTGTTTTTCTTATTGCAAACAGAGTTTTATTGCAAAGGTGTGCCCCCAATCCGATTTTGTATCAGTTTCAAAGGGAAACCAGGCACAAGTCTTTAGTGTGTAGTTTACACAGTTGTGCAAAATGGCATTGGAATAAGTTAGGGTTCACAAACCTTTAAGAAACACAAAAAATGAAGTGAGGGGGAAGTTGTGGATTCACACACAAGGCTTTTTGAAACCTGATTTTTATATAAATGTCCATGGAGTGATTCACTTTCCGATTGCTTATCCCCTGGGAACCAGAGAAAGAAGTGAAACCGAGAGGCATTAAAGCATACACTGGTGTTGTCAGTCAGAGAGGGTATAAACATGACTGAGTAGATTTGAGGTGGCAGCAGCAGCAGCGGCCAGCTGGCAGCCGGACGTTATGGATACAGCCAATAAAAGCGAGAGAGTCACCAGCGGGAAAACATCACATGTGTAGAAAAGAAGCCGTGGATAGACGGAGGGTGTGACTCCGCCTATTGATCAAAGACCATCCTCCTCCCTTTTGTCTTTTCTTCAGTTTGTTAACTTCTCCAAAAAAAAAAAAAAAACCTCGTGGACTCCGGGGCGAGCCGCGCCAAACCTTTTTTGGGCAGGCCCCTCGTTTCGTTTTGTGGGATTTTGGCGCATCCGGGCTGAAGCGATCCCGCAAGCAAAGACAAACAATCTACACGTCTTCTCTCCCAAGTTGTGTTTCATGGAGCCTTTGTGGAAATCATTTGTCACAGCGGCGAGGTAAGAGAACTTATTTACGACTCGGTGTCCCTAATTAACGGGGGGATCGTGGCTGAGACAGAAAAGACGCGTCCGATCTGAACATAAACAGACCGTGTCCTCTTGGAGAGCATCAACGAACGTGAAACTATTTCACACAGCCTCATAGTAGCCTCGCTGCATCCTCAGTGTTTGAAACGGTGTTTGTTGCCACAGTGTGGTTTTCGTTTTGCCGACGCGTTCGCAGCTTGTATGGAAATGACTCGCACTGCGATCAAAAGTCGAGCTTTTACGCGTACATTATTTTCATATCATTTGCTTCCTATTTATCTGAGCAGGCTGTTCTCGCAAGTACAACAACAGCATTCCTTCCCCGAACTGCAAATTTAATGCGCATCAATAACTACAAGTTGCAATGACGGCAAAAGAAGACGAGAAGTTACTTTTACGCGCGGAAGTTCCGTTTTTTTTTATGTTTGGACATGAATCATTTTTTTTATAGAAGGGTTTAAAAGCAACTGGGGGAGGAAATTACTTTGTTCTTTTTTAAATGTCATGTGAGCTTGCTGACATCTTCCAACGGATCTTAACCTGACACATTAATTGGTGAACAGATAAGTGATTAATGATTGTTAGACTAGAACGAAGGGAAGGTTGTTGTTTTGGGTTTTTTTTTTGGCATTTTCACTCTTTTCTCGCGTGGTTTGGGTTTGAGGCCTGTCAGTTTGCTTTCGGAAGTCTCCCATCACAAGTGCCACACACACACACACACACACTCACACACACACACACACACACACACACTTGTCAGCGTGCGGCTTACAGTCCGTTGAGAACTGCTCTCAGATAAAAGCCATCACCTCTGCACTGCTGAGGAAGGTGTCAACAGGATGAGCTGATAACATCTGTGAGTCTGGATTTGGACCTAAAGAGGCCAAGAGAGTGAGAAGTACGCGCTTATTTCACTAAAACCTAACCACAGCCTGCAGACATGTCTCGGATGTTATTTTAATTTCATGTGTCCTGACATGGACACAGCTGTTTCAACATATAGCCCACTGGCAGACCTTATAGTCTGAATTTGGCAGCTTTTCAAAAGACAGCATGGATGTTTCAATCATACTTTTTTTTTTTGCTGTTTCATTCTCGCCAGTTCATGCACTTGCTTGTAATGAAAAAAAAAAGAAAAAGGACAAGCTGAGTCAGTGTGTTGTGCTCAAGATGTTGCATTACACTGCCTTCAAGTATTACTCGGTAATACCAGTTTCGTATTCACCAGTCTGGCATGTCAGACTAGATGTAAGTATCGGTGTTTCCCCCAAATTCTTGAAGGTAACTGAGTTTGTCGTGTGATCATTTTGCTATGAGTGCTGTCATAGACCGTCCCAGTAATCGGTGTCATGTAGCACATGCTGCATTATTTGACAGAGATCTTCAGGAGGGAGCAGAGAGGAGGCACTTCTGTAAGAGTCCTTGTTTGGCGATTGTTTAGTGTTACTGAAGAATACAGAATATTGAACAAAATGCCACCGAAGTAGAGCACAAGAAAGTAACATATTTGGATCACTCATTTTTCAAACGTTCACTGTTTCCAGCTGCTGAAATGCAGCAATGTTATTTCTTGTCATGTGTGAAATTTAACAGAACATTTTTTTAAGGCTTTGGACTGTTGCAAAACAAGGCATTTTAAAGACAAAACAGAGTTGATTCTGTGAAAAGACAATCAGCAGACTACTTCAAAAATGAAAATGAGGGTTGGTTGCAGCCCCACATTGAAGAAGTGTGTGAAAAAGGAACTAGGTTTGGACTGAAGTGTTGTGGTAAGCAAATGCAGAATAGAAAACATCAAGTCCACTCTGCTGTTTTGTCCCATGTGATGGCCCTCGATATGACTGTGCAGACACGTCTTTCGATGAGCCACAGCAAAACTTTAGCGCGGCGAATATGACTCAAGCCTATATTTCAATCACACTTGCAGTCGCAGCCTTCACGTGAGCGCCGCTTTCAATCACATGTGCGCTTGTTGCCGCCACCTAAACCAGTCGGGCTGGAGGTGACACAATCTGAGCTAATCTGTTTTTTTTGCATCACTTGCCAACGATCACATCGGCTGTCATTGTTAACTTTGCTCATTCACCGATGCCCTTTGCTTTGCTTAAGCACTAAATTAAAAATCAACATCATACCTGCACCTCATGTGAACTGTATGTGCGTCCATCATTCCTGTGCATCAGCTCATAGGGGTGTGTGTCAGATATTTGTGATAAGCCACAAGCTTCTTCAAGGTTGCCAAAATGCTTCTTTATAGTTCTTGGCTAATGATGACTGCTACGTGTGCAAAGTGTTTTATTTTCTGCTATAAATCTTCAGTCTGAGTTTGTCTGAGGTTAACTCTCCTGAACTAATTGTTGTTTTTACATTCTCAGGTCTGGAGTCACATCAGTGCAGCATCATCACAAAGTTGCCACATGATGAGCAGCGAGTCGTTGCAGACCCTCACTGACCCAGCGCTTCGAAGCAAGATGCCATTATTTGAGGGGACGATAGCATCCACGGGGCTGTCAAAACCACAAAGTATGCCCGGTTTCCTGGGGAAGCAGACGCTGCAGTACAATGGGGCCTATTTTACTTATGACCCCAGAGGAAAAGACGGAGCAGGATTCCCTCCTCCCTGGAGCAGCTCAAAGACGTCGCTGCTGGACGGCAGAAGTCCTGTGAGTCACCTCTACAGCATGGAGGGACAGAACCACATCATTTACAGGAAAGACAGCAGTTCTTCAGAGGAAGGCAATTCTCATTCTTCCTCTTTGCGTCATGCCCCTGTAAAACAGGGCTTCATGTTATACACTAAAAGTCCTGAGATCAGCAGTCCCACAGCTGCCACATCAGTCACTGTCAGAAAACAAAATCCTGGAGGAGAGAATTTACCCTCTCCTTCTGAAAACTCAGTTTACTTAGCAATTCCTAAGCCGGTTTACGGACACAACCCCTGCTGTAATGAACTGGGCTGCGTGATCGGACGACGGTACAGTGCAGAACACGGCTCTCCGAGGATACCAAACACTGTGTATGAGCACGACTGGATGCAGAGTGATGCTCACTACAACGAAAGGCCACAGAGGAAACCTCAAGACACAGTGCTGCAACAGAGGGGCTTGCAGCTCGAGTCCGGTGCAGATCCACTGAAGAGGATGACGGTGGAGGCTTACAGCCCAGGTAGAGGGAGGGCTTTGCCTGCTGTGATTGAGCCAAACTTCAGCAGTTACTCCTGCCCCCCCACTCGCACACTGTTTGGTTCTTTAAGTGAGCACAGCCAGCCTCCGCAGACTTCCCCCAGAGGCTACCCCGGCCTATACCCCTCCCATCCAACATATGAGCATATGACCTCAGAGGTTTATCAGGACCGTTCTCTCATGTCCAAATATGGCCAGCTAGCACAGCACCCAGTGTTTTACTACCCCCAGGCAAATGTGGAGGTAGAAAACAGGACGCAGTGTAAAGATAGTGGCAGTAAGCAGAGAGAAGATGGCCCTGTTATTCATAAACACACAATCTCAAACCCTCGGGAGCATTACATAGTGCCTCAGCCGCTTCATGCTGAAATTCCTTTGCCTTTGCCTAGCCCTGAAATGTTGCCAAATCATCCCTTCATGCAGGGTTTTGACTATCCATGTTACACACTTCCACGATTACATTTCAAGGCGAGTCAGATTGGAGCCCCCCTAAAAAGGCAACATGCATCACCTACTTTTCACCCGAGTCGCATAAATGTTTCCCCATCCAGTCAACACATGGATCACCCCATGGCCTCTGCAACCAGTCTACATAAAGACAAACCCAACACCAGCCTGCGTGTTGACCAGTTGCATGGTTCCTCAGCTTTCCTACGTGTGGACCCAACCAGCCCTAACAGACGAGTCAGCCAAACTCCACCATCCAGCATACAAGTTGGCAGATTTTTACCCCCCCTCACCGGCCTTCACATAGACCCATCCGTCCACCCTCCAGCCGGCTTGAGCATGGACAGACTCCTGGGCTATTCCTCCCGTGAAGCCCAAATGACTTGTTCAAAACCACCAAAAACGTTTCCTGTTTCCTCAGCGGCATGGCTGCCCCAGTCGCCAAATCACCGGTCGGATCGAACCCACACAGATGGACCTAACAGTGCAAATGTTCGAAAAATAATTCATTACCCCGCCGGTGCAACGGGAAATAAACACAACGGGTCTGCGTCCAGTTCAGAGACCAGTCTTCATAAACGGTGCCTGAAGAGAAGCATTTCTCATTCATCTGCGCACGTCAAAGTAAAAGAAGAGGACGAAGATTTATACAAAGTGGAAATCGCCAAGAAACTGCAAAAACTAGAAAAGGAAAATATCCAAGTAGGAAATCAAATGGACTCTCCTCCTATGCCAGTTATTGACAGTGTTTTCAGCTTGGCGCCTTACCAAGCATACCTACAGGCCTCTGGAGTGTTATTTCCAGGCAGGTTACCTCCGAGAGCCATCGAGTCTGAGCAGCATGAACTCAAACCCAAGATAGACATCAAAGAAAAAAGGCCAGATCGAGATCAGCAGCAGTCTGTTGTCCGTCTAGGTTCCAAAGAAGTCTGTCCAGACACTCCAACAGAGAATTCTGTTGTAGAAGTCTTTGAAACCAAAAACATCAAAGTAGAAAAAGTCGATCCATCAGATATAAACAGCTCGGTACAGGCTCATGTTCATCAAAACGACTGCACCAAAGTGACAATCAAAAAAGAGTCTGAAGACACTGGTTCATCTGACAGCGGGCCCACGCTGGTGAAACAGAAGTGCGAGCCTGAAGAACTTGAAAGTAAGCCCTCATTAACAGATGAAAATGAGACTTCTGATGAGTGTAAACCTGCTCAGCTGACAGCACAGATGAACTCACCTCTTCATCGTGACACACACACACTGCACAAACACGCCGACACCCTTCAACCCAAACCCAGTTCTCCACTTCAGCCGTCGGAGAACAAAATAAGTTTCAAGAACATTCCTCCCCATTGTCTTAAACTGTCCACGTACAAAATTATCATCCCCGATGGCAAACATTGTGGCCCTGCTCCACCCCCAGAGAAGCCACCTGCACCTCCGGCAGCTGAATTAATCAAACTAAAGCTCCAGATGCCGGTCCGCAAGCACTTCTTGGAACTGCACCATTCTCTCTGCAAGCTAGTGTCCAAATCTGTTTTGGCCTCTTCAGAGCAGGAGCTCAAAGACTGGATGTCTCAGCTGGAAATGACTGAACCTGCAGCTCCGTCCACCAAAGTGCAGAAAGTGTCGTGCTTGTTGGGGGTAAAAGCCAGAGAGGCGTGGCTCAACGAGGAGATGAAATCTGCACTCCACGCGGTCCTGGAGAGGCTGAGAGAGTACACCATGCAGGAACGCTGCCCGTTTCCACACGTCATGCGGACTGGAGCTGTGTTTCTCCCCATGCTGGTGGTGAAGGAGCTGCTGTTCCCGATGGTCCAGGGCAGCTTCATCGACCAGGTCCTGCAGGAGCACAAAGTGGAGCTGCGGCCCACCACGCTGTCTGAGGAGAAGATCCTCATCCAGCTCCACAAACGAGCCTTCTCCTCCCGGCTCAGGAGGCTGATGTCCCTCAAACACCTGCCGGACATCTACGCCGATGCAGTCAACCTGTTGTACTACACCTGCGTCTGCAAACAGCTGGGTGAGTCCATCAGATGTACTGCACAGTGTATGTGGGTGGACAAGGATGTTTTTCTAGGATAGAAACTGAAAAGAACTGTGTAGTACAGAGATATTATGTTGGTTATAGACACTTTATTTTAGCTCTTTTCCAGCTCGAGTCCAAATCTGGGATTATTTTGTGTATTCTTTGGTACTTAATGCCAAATTGCAGGTGTTGCTGTGAGCAACTGTGTGCTAATTACCCCTCGTGGTGCAATGCTGGACACAGCTGTGCATTTCACCAACACTGGATGGAAGCAAATATTGTTGTGACAAAAAAAACAATGGATATTTTTTTATTTTAAGGCTGTACAAGCACATGCATACATAAATGAAAGGCATGGAAAAAAAGACTGCAGTTCATGTCATCATTGACCTGCAGCTTATTGGTCAGGCTGCTGTGGAAGTAGAACTAAAGCAGTGCTTGTGAAAACAAAAACAAAACGAAGGTATATCATTTGCTCACAGAGTTGCTGAAATTTCTGACATTGTTTCAGAGAGAAGTTCATGAGAATTGTACTTCCTTGTACAGAATTTCCTTACAAATGCTTTGAGAGATCATATATCTAGTTTGATAATTTGATCATGTGATGTATACAACCCGACCGCCAAAGACTACTTCCTGCCTTAGCTTGCAGATTTCTGGAAATCCCCATTGGGTACACAGTGTTATGTAATGGATTCTTCTAGACTTAATTATAAAACTCTATATTTTGAATCTGTAGCGTGGCTCCAACAGTCTTTCAGTGGTCATATTTTCTGCATTATTGGCCCTTTTTTTTGTATAGAACTAATCACAGTAAAGAAGGAATATTCAATATAAAATCCATTTATTTTTTACAGAATCAACTTCACCTGATGTCCAAAAGAGAGTCCAGGTATATTTATTTTTTATGTTGTCCCTCAGTCTCACTACTCTTCGCTTTTTCTGACTAGAAATGGGGAAACCTTTCTGCTAACCTTCAATAACCAATCACAAGAAGCTGCATGATTACATTCTACTTGTTGTGGGTGTGGGGGGGAGGAGAGCACTGAGCTGGGCTGCTTACGGGTAGATGAAATTCTCCCTTGTGAATTTATTATTCAACGGAATATAAAGACAGTAATGCGGGCTGGTGGATGACATTAACAGAGGAAGGAAGTGGCAGGCTGCTACAAGCAAAGGGCTCAGCGGTGCAGCATTATTGGGTTGGAGAGAAGTTTACAGAAAGATGGTGCATCGCTGCTCTTAACGGACCAGTTCCGGCGAAAAAAAAAAAAACCCACATCTGTGCTGTTTAGTCTCAGACAGATGTGGCATTGAACAAGTACTGCTGCCTGAATGTGTGAATGTTGATGTGTATTTAAGGGGCAGGACTGTGTACACTATGTTTAATGCTGATCTAATGTTTTTGGTAAGATGAGCAAATCCCATGAAACAAAACAAAACCAAAACAAAGCCTAAATGTGTTGATCTTTTCCTTCCTCCACTGCCTGTCCGTAGCTCTCAGCCTCCTACTGAAGGCTTAAATCATAAAAAAAAAGGGTCACCAAAACAGTTTATTTTTATGATTTCCTAAAAAAGCATTCAGCAAATGTAACTCAAACTAAACAGCAGTGACTAGTGCGTTTTTGGATATTGCATGTTTGGCGTGCTGCTGTGTGGTCTTTGTGATCCAAAGGAGTGTCCAAGGATGACTCATACTAAACCCTCGTTTATCTTGATGATGGACTTATCGCCTGCTTTAATCAAGTTGTGACGGGATTCGGCTTCACAGGAATTACTCGGGAGAAGGATCGGGTGTCGGTTTGAGTCTTTTCGTGGAATTTGACGTCATTGAAAACAACATGACTCGACTTCTCTTCTCAATATTTGCTTCACTTTGTGTTGTTCAACAGCTGTTCTTTCATCGAGCACATGCATTTGCTTACTGAATTTTGCTTAATCAAACGTCTGTTCACTGCTGACCTTGTCGGTTCACGTGGGAGCACCTGATTGTGGTATCCGAGCATTTCTCCTGTCACACTCTTACCTCACTGCTGTTTTATTCCCGACTGATAGCATCCCTCGTAGCAGCTGACTTGTTTCCCAGCCTTGGCGTTTACTCCCACAGCCTTTTCTTCTGTCTCTGCTCAAACGCCGTTTCATGGTGGTGGATCATGCTGCCCAATCACCATGTGCCAGCTGATATTAATAGAATAGCTTCTTCTTGTTCCTGTGTGCTGAGCAATTGCTCTGGGAGAATTAGTTTGTCTGCTCGTATAGAGGAGCTGGCATCTGTGGCAGGTAGCTTTCCTTTTCCAAATCAGCAGTTTAGAAAGGTGAATTTATTCATATTCGTTTGGGTCATTTTCTGATTTGCTGTTCACTTGATTCTAATGTTTCCCTGAGCACTGAATAACGTCTCATTTAGTCAACAACCTGATTTGTTTGTGGTGTAAAATATGTTGTACATTTTTTTTGACCACTCTGAATTGCTGCATTCATTGTGTTGCAGGATTAGATACGGATCCAGATTGCAGAGACCAAGATGGAGTCTGTGAGGCGTCTAACAGCACGAGGGTATTTTCAGACATCTCTGCCTCACCGTCCTCACCCTCAGAGTCACACCCACAGAGATGCATGCAGAACCAGGAAACACCATCACAGTGGAGCAGGAACAGGACAAAACACAGAGTAAAGAGCATTTCAAGGCGCATGTTTCTAGACGACAGTTTGTCAGATGAAGAAAACACAGGAGTCATAGAAAAGACAGCGGTTGGAGGGACTCCGGACACATTTACAAAGAAAGACTGGGGCGCTCACGAGTCCCCGAGGATTGAGGATGGTGGAGTTGAACATGCGGTCGCAGAGCAGGATTCTTCCCTCATTCAACAAAGCACAGCTTCAAAGAGTTCCTGGACGTGTCCTCTAACGCCGGACCAGTTATCTCCATCTCCCAGTGACACAGAAACAGAGGAATCCTCGGCCCCATGGCCCGTTGGTCCGTCCTCGGGACCGGCCGCATCTCAGGTCAGATCCAAGAACTGCTCAGGCATGATTCTCAAACTGAGGAGGATGCTCAGTGACGGTATTAAGAGAAAAAAGGCTCGATACCAAGCAGTGTCCGACTCGCAGACCGACGACGTGAAGGGAGCGAGCGGCGAGAGGGGCCGTAAAGTCCGTAAAGTTGTGCACAGGTGGCAGCGAACCGGCAGCTTCTCCCACCACGCCTTAAGACCTCTGAGCAGCTCCTCTAAAAGAAAACCCAGATCGCTCTTGAAGATCAAATACTGCCCCTACTTGTCGGCCTGCCACAGCGCCGAGCACAGGAGGCGGTGGGTCCTGCGGTCGGCTGTCCAGACGGCTCGAAGGGCCATGAGGTTCTACTACCCGGACTTGGTGGGAAAGAGGATCCGCCATCTGTATGAGGAAGATGACAAATCAGAAGTGTGGTACAGAGGAGAGGTGCTGCGTATCCACGAGGCTCACACAAACCCTCTGAAGACTATATTTGAGGTCAGGTACGACAGTGAGCCAGAATGGAAGTACTATCTAGAGCTGCTGATAGACTACAAAAAAGGTTGGCTCAAAATCGAAGACTAGTTTTCCCACAAACGCTTTTTCTTTTTTCTCTTCTCTCCTCAACTTGCCAACAACAGGCGTACATCTGTCTGGCCTCCTCAAGAATGAAGCTGGACTAGATATGGTTGGTAATAAGGCCACTGAAACATTCCTTGTCACTTGAGAGCGATGAATTGCTTTCTTCAGGGATGGGCTCTATATCAAGTGTGCATGTTTTAAGCTCTCACCATCCTTGACGCACGGTAGCTTTTTTATTTTATTCACACATTCTGCCCTCGCTGTGCTTGGCTAAATAAAACATTAGAAACCCCCTCCCCAAACAAGCCTTCGTTTTATAAATTGACTTGTGAGCAACTGTGAAGTTAGATATTTATTTTTGGTCACTTAGGTGTTGAAAAAAAAAAAGTATAATCCCGAGTGCAGTTTGTGATTTTTCTATTTTGCAGAATTGACATGAAGTCATTTTTTTTGTAAGGGTTTCACTGTCAAACAGTGCCAGACGCATGTATGTAGGTTTACAGTAATGCAGTGCCAGTCACGTGTGCCTTGATAGCACAGAGTGAAGTTTTAACCCAGTCGTCTGTGGATTTTATTTTTTAAAGTGTGTGTAACTGAAGCTGGACAGGCATTAGTGTAGTTGTGAACCAAGCTGAGGTTTTTAAACGACACAGACTAAGATGCTGCCATGTCGTCGTGTATTTATCACTGTGAGCCTTAAGACTGAACCTCAAATCATATTACAATTTTGTACATCTTGTCTGACTTCCACAGATTGAATTTAAACATTTTTCTCATTTTGTGTTAAATATTTGAAATGCTATTGTGTTTTTATGTCATGTTGCTGTATAAATATTCAAGCTAAACTTTGCAAATTGCTACATCTTTTGGCTGCACCTTCTCTTCTCGCTATGCAGAAGGAACTATCAATGTACACCATGCAATCTGGGAAATGTTTTGTGCTGACTGTTCTGTCGCCCTGCAGTGAATGAATGAGTTAATGTGTCAAAAACAATGCACTGAATGAGTGTTGCATTTCTTTCCTCCTGATATCAGTGTGGCTGTCAAGTTGTAACTGATAAACGAATTTCTTAAATATGAGCATTTTTGTGAATTGTAATATATCAGTACCTTAAATGTACAATTAGTGTTTTTGTCTCCATCCTGTGGCAAAATGTTTCGCTGCAAAATTTCCTCTTTTACTCTCAAGGATGCCGTTTAGTTGGAAATTCCAAGGATTGGCTTCGCTACAAGTGACGGTACACAGTGGTAGTCTTTAAGGACACAGTTTAACAACACATCACATCGTTATTGTGGCAACTGAATGAAAATGTACGCCGCCACAACAGAGACATTGTGTCCGTTATCAAACAACCACCCATGCCAGAACCATGTTTGCAACATTTTGCACTTTAATATTTTCTCCAAAACAGACATCTAATTTTTCCCACATTTTTACACTAATAGGAAATAAAACACCTTTGATAGCATAAAGAAAAGATATGTAGAAAAGTATTAAAAGTTTTTGGATGTCTCAATTTAATGTAAGTAGCTGCTTCCGTTACTTCAAACGTTAAGTTGAAATGTTCATGAACTACTAGCAGACACAATGAAAACAGAGTGAGCCCTGGAGAGCATGTTAGCCTAATGATCACAGCTAGAGCTGGTGTTACTGCAAGACAACTTAGAGAAGAAAAAAAAAAATAGCCCATCTTTTATCCATTCACCTTGTGTCATCATTGGTTTGTGACTTGAGAGACAAAATTAATTCAAAAGTGACATCATACAAACAACCACCTGATCGTTATCGTACAATCTGCAAGTAAACGTGGTGCAAAAAAGCTAACACTTTTACCTAAAAAATCAAAATTATTCAGTGAAATTAAGTCCACGCTATTCTGGAAGACACAGCTCTGCCAAGGTCTGTAGTACACTACATTGCAAAATACATAGCGCAGAAATGCATCATGGATGTTTGGGTAATTAATATGCTTGAGACAAACCTACTCTAATGACTCACACAGTACTCCCAAAAATGAGATTTCTCATGACATTTATTCAAATAAACAATACAGTTTATAATTTGCTAGGATAAAATAATAAGTTTGAACACATAAGAAGCATTTGGGAGAGAATTCCCCAAAGATCTGAAACTGGGGCAAAGGATGTGTTTTAATGATGGCTGACACTTTGGTGTCATCTTCTGACTTGCATCAGTGCCTGTATAATCATGTCCCCTCCAGTCAATCTTGTGAAGACTGCCACATAGCAGAGACATGAACGAGCATTTACAAGCAGAGAGCTTGACAACCAGAGCAACCACCACACAGAACAATGCAAAACCTGGAGGGGCACTGACATTTCAATGCTAAAACCTCAACCCATGTGCGAAAAATACAGTCTTTAATGCAAAAGCATAACAGCGTTACAAAACACTCCTACAACCTTTAGAAGTTTGCCCTATATTCCTCATCTGCTTAAGGATCACACGAGTTCATCTGTGTAGCTTGATTTAAAGCAATGCTCAGTCTCACTGCAAGGCAACAGATCTCTTCAAAGAGGCGCGGCAGCTATCAGCCTCATGCCATCCAAATAGTCCCTGCAAGAGTGATGCAAATGCCTGACCCTGTTTGACAGTGATCGAGCCCAATTAGCAGCACTACAAAGCTGTGCTGTCAGTACATTCTATTACCCTCATTCAATCCCCAAAGTGCAAGCTGAGCTCTAAGAGGGCTACCTCAAGCCACGTCAGGAAAGAGAAAAAAAGAAAAAAAAAAAGAAAAAGAAAACAAAAAAAAAGAGTGAATGTCACTCAGTTTGGCTCTTGCAAATAATTAGTAATGTTCTTAAATGTTAAACAGCTCTAAAAACAACTAAGAGGGTACGGCAAAAGGTTAGCATAGAGGGACACAGGGCCGGTGCATTCTACCTTACCTTTGACCTGTAAAACTTTTTTCTTGGTTTTCTAAGTCGACCGTGCACTTTCACTGAGTCCTTTATCTGATCGCTTGGCAACTAAGAGAAATTCTTTCTATCAGTCCCCTTTTAGAGTTACTGATAAGGTGTAACTTGTGCACTGCTCTGAAGAGACCGAGGATGATAGGACGAATGCCTTATTGCCAAACACCTCCGAACTCCCGCAGTCAGTGGAGGGAGTGAATAGACTCAACCTACATGGCAGAAGTACACCTTTTTCAATATTGGTAAAGAATAAATATTTCAAAATTTCAAAATTATGCAAACACGTGCCACTCTTGCTCTTTAACTTCCATGCATATGGACTATTTACAAATTGAAAAATACAGACTTGCTATTTAGTTCTTTTTATGTTTTTTTTTTTCTTCTTTTCCCCCCTGAAATGTCTTTGCCCCTTTTGCAATCAGCCTATCAACATTCAGCCACTCAGACAAGGATCTCACCACATATTGCAGACATGGCCAGGACAATTAAAGCTGTGTTGAAAACATTTTCACACTAATGGGAAAACAAAAAGTCAAAATCAAAACAGAAGAGATTCACAAGCAAAAAACAGAGGAAAATAAGATAGTTCAGGGGAGGTATTACAATACAAGCCAAAAGGATGTATTTGTTTAAGATGGATTTTCTGCTTTCTCAAGACTCCACTCTGCTGCTAACAATACTGTAGTACACTTTCTTTTTATTACTCTACCTTTTATTTAAATATAATTTACTTTGAAGATTTTGTTAAACAAATCCAGGAAAAATGATGCAAAAGTGGTTGGTTTGCCAAAGGAGAGGCGGCAGAAGGCCCGTGCTGCCCTGTTTAATTGCATCAGCGCTCTAGTTTGTCAAGATACTCAAGAGTCCGTTGCATTGGGACGTGTCCTCAATCCTCAATGTACTCCCACAGGTCCTTCTCATAGCCTTCATGCACGTGCTGTAGAAGCACTCTTCGCCTGCTCTCACAGTATCTATAAACACAAGACATTTGTTTTGGTTTTAGAATTCAAGAACACACAAACTTGATCGTAGCAGACAGATACAATCCTTTTACTGACCTGTACTTATCTTGTACTTTCTGCTTGATGTCCTGCAAGGAATCCTGGGAGATGTCCCGCTCTAGGTAGCCTGAGAGCACCTCAGTGGCATTTTCCAGGTCCGCCTGGTTGTTCTGATGAACAAAAATGTCATAGGTAATATTATTCAGTGTCATTGGATAAATTAAAAGACAGAAATGTCAGTTATCTGTGATAATGTTTCCTAAACTCTGGAGCATGGGTGTCAAACTGAAATACACAGTGGGTCAAAATAAAAAAACTAAGTTGAGGGCCAGACTCGATATTTATTGAAAAATGGACTAAAGTTGTGCCTGTTTTCCTTTCTCTCCAGGTATACAATGATAAACTGTTTCATATGGAAACAAAGATTTTGCTTAAACATTAAATCTGGAACAAACAAAGCTTAATTAAGGTCTGTCCTTTACACTCATGAACAGATAATCTGCCTCCCGCCTGTCTTGAAAGCTCCTGTTTTTCATCTTTTGTTTGGCCATTCTTTGTGAGGGGTGGCTTAAATTTTCCTGAGGTGACTGGTAACATGAGGTTGCTAATGAATGTTGAGAGTTGCTAACGCGCCAACTCACTAGCAAAGCATTCTGGGATGTGTAGTATTAACGATGCATGCACTATATATCAGTGAGCCTGGTCTAATAGACGTTTGATATTATCTTGCGGGCCAAACATAATTACACTGCGGGCCCGATTTGGCCCACGGGCCTGCGTTTGACACCTATGCTCTAGAGCATCCTGCTTCAAGTCAAGCTCAGACTAGAGGAAGGATTTGCCCTTTTCACCGCTAAGAAAACAATGAAAAAAAAATACATTTACAAAGTACACCTGTGTTTTTACATCACTTAGAATCGCGGCAGTTTCTCTAATTTCCGTTTCACCTTGTTTGTGTGTGTGTGTGTGTGTGTGTGAGGGGAGGGACAGAGGATAGATGAGTGAAGGGAAAAGAAATGTTACCTGTGTTGATGACAGCTTGTCAGGGTAAAACCTTCCCAACAAGTGTTAATCTGTCTAAGGCCACAGATGGACACACATCTACCCCAAACGCCTGAAAGTCAGGCCACAATATCTGCGTTTTTTTAAATGCACATAGCCGAGCTCGGGATTTTAGAGACGAGATTTCCTAAGTTCTATGTCAGTACTGGGGAATGGTCTGGCTGCACCCGTTATGATTCTGCTATAGGGGATTAAATGTGCTGGCTCGTTTTGTATTTATTTAAACCAATTAGAGTTATCTTGGGCTGCAGTGAGTCCAGGATCCTGCCATGGTGCCCCTGCAAAGTAGTGTCAGGGGGAGAGTTGTTTGGTGGAAAATGAAGCTTTTTTCCATATCTGGTGGGCAAACATGCAAACACATCCCTGTTGGACCGCAAATGGTGTAATATATTCTTTGTAGCATTCACTGAAAGAACCAAGCAGGCTTTCCTTATCGCATGATTTAAAACTTGCCATTCTGCCATTGCCCTCCTAAAAAAAACAGTAAACTCAGGGTAAACACTGAAGACAGAGAGGTGGGATACTGAGAGAGACGAATGTGTTTCAGAGAGAAAATGCTAAAGCTGTCACATGGAGGGTACCCAATTATATTGTTATATTTTTGTGTTGCATTCATTCAGACTAAACACCATTACAATTACGTTCACATCTGTAACATTTGAGGCAACGCTTCCCCTTTGATCGTACCTCAAAAATAATGGACTGGTTGTTCTTCTTGAGGTAGAAGGCAAAGACGTAAGTGAACATGAGTGTGGAACGGCACTGGCACAGCACATCCACGGCCTTCTTCAGAAACTGCACCTCAATCCAAGACATGTTGTGCTGTTGCATCTCCTCCATCTTCTGCTTGACCTGAGCATAGAGCTTGTGCTCAAAGCGCAGACTCTGCATGTGGTTCATGTAGCGGTTGCAGTAGAACAGGTACCTCTGCAAGGCTGCCCTGGAGCGCTGCACACACATCGTGGAACAGGTTTTAACTTGTGCGCACTCTTCCTGTACTAGAAATCTTCAAAATCACTGCGCACTTGATCGTAGGAAATATGTTACTGAAATGTTTTAATTGTGTTGGTGGGTGTTTCAGACAAAAACCATTCTTCACTGTGCAACAATCATGTC